GAATGGGCTCTGCAGCAGGTCTGCACCACTGCTCACAGCAACAGCATACTAAACTCCATTTATTTGTTCAGAAGCTTATATATTGTGTATTTCAGTGTTCTGTAAAAGTGTGTGCTCTTAAGTCAGTGTCCTAAAATAACACCCTGGCCAGTGAATTTTGTGCCCATATTGACCAGTAGAAACTTTCATTAATCAGTCGTAGGAAGTTTTTCACAGTAAACTCATTCGCTAGAATGTGAGCTGCATTCAGAGGTGACATGATAAATGAAGCCAAGTATGGTGCAGTGTATCCAGCAGAAAAGGACTTTAATTTTTGGTGACTACAAAAGGCTCGGGGTGCTGAAAAGGATTCGGTTCAGCCGGTTTGCTCCTCAAAAGATGGAAGAAAGGAAAGGATGAAAAAAAGGGAAACAGGACATGGGTAAATCCCTACGGTGTCTGTGGGCTGTGTGGTTTGCCACCCTTATTCCTTCAGACCAAATTAAAAAAAGCAGAATAAAAAATGCACAGGCTTGTGAGCATGGAACTTCAAAAAAGGCCTTTTCTGTCAGACTAACATGGGAGAACATGAGACGAAAGGATAGAGAGATGGATACGGAGAAGAAGACGGGGGAAATAAGGTGAAGAAGAGAGAGAGAGAATTGAGAATCGAGTGGTACTGGGGGAGAGAAAATATGGGGAAGATGCCAGGATGCCTCCTGCTGGTAGTAAGTGGCCCTCCACCTGTGACTGCAGGATGAATGTTGTGGCATGACTAGAGATCGCAAACATTTTTCCCCTCGCTTCGGGGCTCCATCATAAGAGCTCCTACCTGAAAATTTCACACCAGCTTGACATTTCCTTCCTGGACGCATGCAGCATGGCAGTGATAAGCAGTGCTGGCTTTATATGGCAAAAACACACACACACGCAAACACACTCTCTCTCTCTGTCTCTCTCTCGCTCTCTCTCTATCCTTGTCCCAGGGAGTAAGCACTCCATTGCAGGCTGCTGACAGAGAGGTTATATACAGCACTCAGTGGAGCCAAACAAAAGAGAATGAGCAAAGAGACAATCCTCCTAAGTTCAGCATTTATCAGCACACTGCTCAGTGGAAGTAAGAGCATTTCAGTGTGCGTGTGTGTGTGTGAGGTGCACTACATGAACACCTTAAAAGTGAGACAGCCGAATAGTGGCCGCCTACATGTAATGGTAGATTGTACAACAATTAACAGTAAGTAAGTAAGAGAGTAACAGTAGCAGCAGAGGAAAGTCATGAAGTTCATGATCAGACTCATAACACCCAGCACTTAGCAATATCTATGCTAAGTGTGCTAACATTACCCACCATAAGCTACTAATCATACCAGACCAAATAGGTTTTGCATACAATGAATTTGCTTTGGTATTTTGGTGCATAACAATAATTACTAATGTAAGAGAAAAGAAAAACCAAGTCCTGCAAGAATAATACATAGAAAATAAAAATATCAAAAATATGTCTGTTTCTAAAATGAAAATAACTGTACAGTGTACAGTTCATTTCTATTGACAATAATAAGATTGTATTTACCAAGTTGACATTTTGAGAAATTCTCAACAAGCAATCAGGCAATAATACAGGTGTTATTCTCGATTTTATATTTAGGGGGCACTCATTTCTGTTTAAATCAGATTTCGATGTTACTGTGTATCCAGAATTTAGCATTTGCTTTAGGGAGTGCTGTGTTGTTGTAACTGACAGAAAAAGTCGAAATAAGAGTCGAAAATAAGAGCCGGGTCAGAACAAACCAGAGTTATCCTTTTTGTGTCGTGTGCAGTTTGGTTTGTGGAGTCCATCTTCTCCCTGCTCCTTAGAGCAAACACTTTTCTGGTTCCCTGCAGCTCCTCCTGTGGCCGTTTTAATAGAAAAGCTTTTCATTGGAAGGCTGCTGAGCTGCACGACAGCCCTTTGATCTCTCGTATGTGTGTGTGTGTGTGTGTGTGTGTGTGTGTGTGTGTGTGTGTGTGTGTGTGTGTGTGTGTGTGTGTGTGTGTGTGTTCAATAAAAGTAAGTAACGTAATGTGTGCCTATGCGCATTTGTGTGTGGCGCCCAGTAAAGGTGAGAACATGAAACACTCTCTTTCATATTTAATGAGTGGAGATGGGGCTAAGGAATGTTGCAGTGTTTGCAGGAGGTATTCCCGTGGGCTGTCAACCTGCTCGCAGCCCTCTGTTATATCACTCCCAACCGTGTGTGTGTGTGTGTGTGTTTGTGTGTGTGTGTGTGTGTGTGTGTGTGGTAAGTATGCATTTAGTGAGTGTGCGGGCAAAAAATAGTGTGTCCTACTGAAAGTTTAATAATTTGTTTTGAGGGGATGGGGGCAGGGGATCAGAGAAGCATATGGCACGTGCAGGAGCACTGCAGCAGCATTGTTTTGATATTTCTGCTCTGCGTGGGAGAGCTGGGAGGGATGGGAGTATGCACAGCAATCTATTGAGTCTGTAAACTAGGGCAAGCAGTAATAATACATGTATTGCAATGACCATACAGTATATTATATCCTTGGTGTTTCTCACAAACTGCAGCCGTGCCTTCGATCAGCCAGAGGGTCCTCGGGAGCCCGAGGTGCTTTAGCGCTCCCTCTGGTTGCTTCCCTTTCTGATTAGGAAGTATTTTCTCTGCTGTTATCTCCGCTCTCATCCTGATTAACTTCACATTGTCACTAATCAAAGCTGGTCTGATTCTAAGCTGAGCTGCACTGGAACACAATGTCCCCAAGCTCCATGCTAGATTCAGCTTAGATGCTATTTCAGCGGGAGCCTCTTGCACTATATTACCCAGCTCGGTTGTGAATGATCATGCTATTATGCTAAAACACTGGAGTCTCCATTGGGGACTATGCTTTAAATGTTAATTGCTCATATCCTGGAAAGCAAAGGGGGGAAACTCCTTCTAGACATGTTTTTGAGAAATGTGTTCTGTCAGTGAGCTGTGGGCGTCACGGAGAGAGAAGAGGGCAACTTTGAAAATCCTGTCCAGTATGACTGATGACTGTCAGGGGTTTGAGGAAGATCAGCTTTGATCACTGGGAACTAAGACAGCATGTTCTGCAGTGCAATCCACACAGAGGCAGAACGAGCAGAAATATCTATGAGTTTGCAGTACTGTTGAAAAGTTAGAGGCCACTTTGGAAATGCCAAGTTGAAGATATTTATCTAGGGATGGCAATATTGGACCGTCAGTCCACCACCCCAGTCTCAACAACTATTGGATGGACTGCCATGAACTTTTGTACAGACAATTATGGGTCCCAGAGGATGAATCCTAATGACTTTGGTGATTGCCAGACTTTTCCTGTAGCACCACCAGCAAGTTGACATTTGTGGTAAAATGCCTCGACAACTATTGTATGGATTGAAATGTGCTGCAGATATTCCTTGAGGATGAATTCTAATACCTTCATGATCATCTCACCTTTTATCCAGTGCCACCGTCAGTCATTCACACAGAGCCTGTAGCGTAGCTGTAGTCTTAGTCTTAGTTATACTAAGGGTTTGGTATTCAAACCCACATTAATCCTATAGAAAGGAACCAAAAGCTGTAAAAAAAAAAAAAAATTGTTTGAAGTAGACTGTAAGGTAATTTTATTGAGTACTTTCCTGTGCTTCTCAAAATCATGTGTTCAGTAGAAAGAAGATGTATTTATTAATAATAAAAAAAGCATGCCACAAGTCACGATGACCCTATTTATTATTAACAAATGTTTCACTCAACTAGCCTTGCAGGTGGTGAAAACATCACGTTTCATGTTATTGTGTCATTGTGGACACATTATGTGTCATTCAACTTCTTCTCACAGCATTTAGTGGTGGTTTGATCTGTCTGTCATGTGTCAGTAATTGGCTGTCATATGCTATTTGTCTGTTACTGCATTGAGTCTTGTAACATTTGGAGCCACACTGTTAAACACCAATGGAAATATGTACCCGTTGATACTGTGAAAGTTCAACACCCTCAGGGTTTGTGCTTGTTCTAGTGGAAGCTGTTAATCTATGCAAAGTTCCCACATCAAAACACAATATTTACAGCATGGAATAGATGCAGGGCATAAATATTTCACTGATTTAAATTCAGCCACTAGATCTATCAATATTTGGTGTTATTTTGCAACTTTTTCTTGGAGAGGAATGCATTAAATGTGCAGCTTTAAAGAGCCAGTAGCCTTTTTAAATCAATCAATGTGACAAGTTACAGTGAAAAGACATAGTTATGTTTTATTTATTAAATTTTAAGATACGGTTTCAGAATATTCACAAGCAACATATGACAGCTCAGAAAGAACAGCAACCCCTACAGTTAACATGTTGTTGCACCATCAAATTCCTGGTAATTACCAACAGTAAAACGATGCTGCAGGCTAATTCTGCCACAAAGATGTTTTCATGCAAGATCAACATGCTGTTGCAGTTCGTTTAATAAATAAGCCCTTCATTATTGTTGTCTTGCTGAAAAATCCAGTTATGAAACATGTTTGTTACAAATCGGAAGGTGTCAAATTGGAAAACTAATTTTAGAACAGTAATCCAAGTAATCAGTGAAATCTGTGAGGATTGGTGGAACCGACAGCAGCTATGGGCCCAAAATAGCATCACAACCAATAAATCACGTTGAAAAATTGCAGTTTTCAAACAAAATAAGTTTAACGCAAGTCGAACCGTGTCACCAACCTCTCTGACGTAACGGGGCACCTTGAATGTCACTACAGCAGCATTGTAACCAATAAATAACACTAAAAAAACAACAATAATATGTTTTTATTACGCATACAACTGTGGGCGAACAAGACAAAAACATGCACTGTATATCACTTGAGAAACCAGAACAATTACCGACAGTAAAAATGATCCTGTAAACTAATTCTGCCGCAAAGATGTTTTCATGCAAGATCAATATGCTGGTGCAAGTTCATTGAATAAACAAGCCCTTCATTATTGTTGTCTCACTGCTGCTCTTCTGTTTTTTTGGTTTTTTTTACAGAGCTTCCGTACGGCTGGGAGAAAATCGATGACCCCATTTACGGCAGCTACTATGTCGAGTAAGTCGGGTACATCTTTAATATGTAATGGCTTGCTTTTGATTTTCAGTGAAGCCCGGTGGTGCTGCATTAATCATATTTATTAGGAGCAGACTGGCGCTGCAGCCAGGAAGCACTTCCTCCTTTTGTCTGCCTTCTGACGGCTCACTGTTTGTTTGCAGTTTGAAGTTTATTTGTCTGTGTGTGCTTACCCATATTTCTCTGTCATTCTTCTCTCTGACACACCCAAGGCCTCTTCTACAGAGATCAGTGTCTCTTCCTAAACATTCTCCATGTCTGTTCACCTATAGCCACGTACGCGCGTCCACTTAGCGACTGCTGCAGTAGCCTGTCCTCTCTATTGAACTGCACGTCCCCTCCCTGTTCAGAGGTGTCATTTCTTTGGCTGGATGCTCTCTACTCTGGGGCGCAGGGACAGGGCTCTATTTTTAGACGAGCAGGGGGAGTCATTTGGCTCGACTTTGCTTAAGAAAACCTCCAGAATGACACTTGACTGCTCTCTGCCCCGTACATCGCGCTCCCCCTCTCGAGATTGCTCTCATTCTCTTGCTTTCTGGTCATGTAAATATCATGAAAGAAGTTGCCAGACCTTGAAATTATGTAACTATGTAAAAAATATAGTCAAGCTGCTTTGCAATTAGCAGCGTGATCCTGGGGTGTTCATTAAAAGATAAGGAGAGGAGCGAAAAAGATGGTGTGTGTTTATTTGAGAGCACAATGCAGCCTGAAAGAGTGAAGGAAGTATCTAATGATGACTAATTATTTCACACTGGCAAATTACAGTTTTTGTAGTCATTGACTATCATCCCCCTTGAAAACTAAATTAAGACCGATGTGGGGCGTTAAAGGAAATCTCTGTTTCATGTGTAGGTTTCCTCGCAGTCACTCATTCACGTTATTCTGCTTATAAGAAAGGGGGCTGAATGTCGGAGGAAAAGCCCAGAATGAGTTGTTTGTTCTTTTTTAACTCAGCAAAGCCATTCTGCGGCTCTGTTACATAATCTGTGGGGCCAGCCATTTAATTAATCATCATAGCAATAGCTGCTGTAGTGCCAGGATATTTTAGATCTGATCTCTTTGCAGAGAGGGGGGCTAAGTTAAGTGCAGCAGGATAGTGTGAAATCTGAAATCTCGTCTTTTTTTTTTTTTTTCTTTTTATCATCGTAGCCATATAAATAGAAGGACCCAGTTTGAGAACCCAGTCCTGGAGGCTAAAAGGAGACTCCAGCAGCAGCAGCAGATGCAAAGCCAGGGTCTGTCCTCACTGCCCCTTCCCACCATCTACAGAGGTAAGACCACCGTGCTGGTGTCTTGACTTTTAAAGGACAATAACCATTCATTTCCCATTATTAGGGAATGTGGTCACGCTCATTAGCTGTGTGTATGTTTGTAGAAAATGTATCTAAGTCAGTATAGCTAAGTCAATTTCAAGTTAATCATATTTTTATTATGCCACAAACACCTTCAGTTTCCTTGTACTTGTATCCATTTATCGGCCCAGAAGGTCTCTTATTAGCTTCAAATATTGATTTATTGCACCTTTTCTATTTCATTATAACCAGTGCTATTTGACAATTATTAAACACGTGATGTAATTAGATACAGTCAAAAGGTTTTAGTGGATTATATTAATGTAAATGAAGGTTGGCCAATGAAAGTCCAGTTACAAAACCAAAAAATCACCACTCAGAAGCTGTCTAATTGGAAAACTAATTTCAGAACAGTAATGTAATCAGGGGAATGTGTGGTTTTTGGTGCCACTGACAGCAGCTATGGGCCTTTTAATAGCATTATAACCAATAAATAATGTAGAAAAATGGCAACAACTTTCAAACAAAATAACCATGTTACTAACCTCTCTGACGTCATAGCTTCTTTATATGAATAAAGTTTTTACTATTGTGTCAAGTCTACAACTGTGGGCTTACAAGACGCCACAATTTCATATAAGCCAGATCCAGAATGCCACATATGCAAGAAGTCCAAAAATAAAGATCTTTATTTCTACAACATAATTCATAAATCACTGCATGATTGATGACAAAACATGTAGTGCATAATTCTTGAGAAAGAAGAAGTAAATAATCTATCGCGCCTTGTTTTTCAGGCTTGTGAGATAATGTGTCACAAAATTAAACACATCACCATCACACCATTTAATTTTCTGAGCATCTGTAGAACAGAATATTTCCGGATTTTGTTGAGCCTTTTCATATGAATTGCCACTCTGAAATCAATATAGTATGTACAAAACACTTCCCAAATTAACTTCCTCGACTTCAAGAGAAGTAACAACAGAAGAACATGTTGCTTGGATCTCCATAGCAACATGCAAAGAGGGGTTACAACCAAGCATGATAGCTCATTGTGTTCATTAGAAACGGGCCTGTTGCTGTGTTAATTCACAGCAAGACACAACATCACATTCACTTTTGAGCCTCAGTCAAACATTTGGAGGAATGCCGACGTCCTGGTGGGACTGATAGTACTCGGTCACATAAATAGCGCTCTGCCAAAGTGAACATGTGGGTTTAAATGTGATTCACTGTTTTGTTTAATGACTGGTTTGTTGCTACCTAATTCCAGTGCTAACTCCAGCCATAGCAGTAGGATGCACTGCTAGAAAAAACTGTCTGGACTGGTGAAGTGGAGGTTTGTTTCCATAGTAACGTAGTAGTCCACCGCTCTGAGTCGAGAGCCTGTCTCCGTGGTTACACTCTGTGTACATTCCAGTTAGGCTCTCTCTCCTCCCTCTCCCTACTTCCACCTCCTTCCTTATCCTCCTCCTCCTTTTCCCTCCAAACTTTGATGCCAGTGGAGGATGCCAGCCCCTGTGCCACCCTCCACAGATCCCCCCTCGTTCAGGTCGGCCCGGTGCCCGAGCGCTGCCACAGCCTCGGCGACCTCTCCCGCTCGCCAACTCTGGGTCGCAGGGCGGCTGCATATGCTACATCCTCCTCCGCCGACGTCTCCCCGCTCCGGCGTGTTCTGACTCGGCGGATGAATATGTGCCCCTACCACCACCAGCAGCAGCAGCCACTTCACACCTCCGCCTGCACTGTGGTGCTAGAGCAGCCTGTCTGTAGCCCCTTCTCCCTGTGGCACTTTGTCAGTAAGTAGGCCAAGAGCGAAGCAAAAGGAGGCTGACTGTCGGTCTCGTGGCTGCCTGCGCTCGTTTGACTTACTGTAAGCATGCTAGCTCGCAAGCAAGCTTTTCCCTTGAGGCAGTTGAAGGATTTGTGTGGTGAGCGTGTACCATGACATGTCTTATCGTCTGGCATAAGCAGGCAGGAGAGTGTAATCACTCAGTCTATGTCTGGACCAGTGACGGCAAACAATGTATGTTAACTAGCACACTAGCCACGTCTCCCATGGAGGTGAAAAGATTGGAGACTTGGTTAAGTGTGACTAAGCTTGTTGGCTGAGATCCTCTAATTCCTACACAAGGCGCCCTTCCTCCAGAAATCTCACAGCTCTCCCTCCTTCAGAAATCTCCCAGTTCTTCCCTAACCCTCTCAAGCATCTTCTCTTGGAACTGATCCCTGTTTGACAGCATGTCATTTGCCGAATTTGCTGCTTCCTTGGTAGCCTTGGGATGGGACTGAAGACCTGCACCACTGATGCTCTCTGCACCCCTTCTGCCCACCGTATCCCAGCATGGGAGGAGAGGAACGGATATAAGTTTTGCATATTTGGGTGTACCAGGAGGGATGTTGCATTTGTACCTTGCACGGGAGCCAAAACCATTGAACCACACCTGCATCTTTCAGCACCACAGACCCGCCTCTGTCCAAGTTCGCTGTTTTGCAGTTAAAATCATACCCTGCCAGTTTTCCTGTGGCTAAACCCATATCTTTCTGGATAAGCTTTACCCATGCCCCCCCCCGCCCCCACCCTGTGAGCACTGCCCTGCACCAGCTTTAAGGTCTTTTCAATCTTTGCAATAATGCCTACACAGCATTAGTGTTTGTAATTGGTTAATTTGTTTGTTTATCTGTCCTTTAATAGAGAAGCCGCTGTTCACGCGGGACCCGACTCAGCTGAAAGGCAGTTTCTTGTCCACGTCCCTCCAAAAGAGCAACATGGGCTTTGGCTTCACCATTATCGGAGGCGACGAGCCTGACGAATTCCTCCAGGTCAAAAGCGTTATCCCGGATGGGCCGGCCGCAGCTGACGGAAAGATGGCCACAGGTGAGACTCACAGCCTGAGACTTGAACAAAAAAATATTTATTTACCTTTATTTAGCCAGGAACTCTCTTGAGACACCTCAGCATAAAAGAGAGCATAGAATACTTGACACATAGCCACAAGGGAACACACACAGTCAGTGAAACTGAATTATGGGCTTTTCTTAGAAGTTTGATTCCTGCAGTATCTGGTCAATTCATCAGAATGTATCCAGAAAGATGGGGTTACACGCAAGTTTTAAAGCCCCACATTCACCTTTTTTAATGCAGTACTCCTACGCATAGTCAATTTCAAACAAACACAACAAAATATGAACACAGTATACAGTCCAGAGTGCAGCCCCAACACAATTACAAAAATATGGACATTGGTTGTATGCATGCATTGTGTGTATATGTGTTTCCAGGTGCAACTTGCTAAGCTAGCATTCTGTAAGTTTCGTATGCGTGTGTATGTGTGTGCACATGCGTGTGCGCCCCCAACCGCAGAGTCTTGTTCTTTCATTAATCATAAAGGGGACTTTATGAGCACCATAACTCCTAGCTGTGGCCACATGGGGGTGGGACTGCAGCACAGATATACACACAAACACGCACACTAAGACAGACCAGCTGTACTAAAAGGTCAAGGGAATGGAGCTTGCAGGTCTGTCAGTGTTCTCAGCATGCAATAATGTTTCTAGTTGTATATGCTGGAGCAAATGCAGAGCTTATAGTGGTCATTTATCATATATAAAGTAAGCTGGTCAGGGAGTTTGCTCTGTAGTAAAGCTGATAGTCTTGTCCAAAACACTTTTGATAGTTGTGTTAACAGATGTCATAAATGGGTCACAAATGTCTGGGTTTTTTTTATAAATGTGTGGGTGCAGCAGTCCAGAATAGATCGTTTGATGACTAATAAAGCTTGTCCTGACAATACTGCATAGAAATCATTTTGGGTCTGTATTCTCATCCCCTCCTCTCTCCTTCTTGTAGATTCCCCCTCTCTCTTTTCCCCCAGAAATAACTTACAAATCCCTCTCACATCTCTACTATCCCACCTCCCGTTTTCCTCTCCTCTCCACCACTTCCTCCCTTCAGCTCATCTCCATCTCTATCTCACCATCCAGCCTCCATCCCCCCACCATGCCTCCCCAGACTTTGTGTCCTACTTCTGCAGTAACAGAGCTAGCTCGAGCACAGTAACGCAGAGCTCACACGGACGAAACCCAAGCCTGCAGAGGTGTGAAATTCTCAATTCCAGATAGATAATTTGTGCCGCTTTCTCTTCATGACCAGTCCTGGCCATCTCCACTACGTGATTACAACAAGGGAAACATGTTCAGGCACTTGAATATCTGATTTATGGCTGCCAGACCACATGCAGTGCAATTTTGTCCAGGCAGATATTTGCAAAAGATAAGACACTGAGAATATGCACCACATTTTGCAGTATCACAATTTATAACACCAGAAACACATAAAGAAATCAAAATATGTGCAGATTGCTGGTGGTTTGGCTTAGCTTTGTGGTTTTACTAACATTTATTAAAAAGTCACAGCAAAAAAATCTCCAGCTAAACTCAAATCTTGATTTAGATTTACCAAATGTAAATGTTTTAAATAAGATATGTGATTACTGGTGGTTATTTTTTGGACTGGTAGATAGTAGGATATTAGGATGAGGACTAACCCATGTGTTTGACATTTCTCAGTTAATGTTGGCTTGAGTGTAAACTTCCCAAAATCCAATAAAGAGCAGGACAGTGCTACTAAGGGTAGCCTAAACTCTCATAGCATCCAGGACCGACTTCCACAAAGTGGGGAAAAACAGTGGATCTGCTGAGCTGCTAACAGGGCTGTTGTTCAATGTGACCTGTAACCCCACAAAATAATGTAGTAATTGTGATATGTGATATGCTGCATGCACTCAGAAATAGACTCGGTTACTGTTGCAGAAAATAAGATAATTAGCTGGAAATGCTAACGATTGAAGCTTACATTAGAGCAGATAAACACTACACACACCTTATACTTTTGCTGTTGTGTTCTTTGGTTTGGGAAAGGCTAAAATACGACATCTCCCCCCAAACTGTCAGCAAGTCAAAATATCCCAAGCCTGCTGGGCCTACTTAATCATTAACAGACAGTCAGTTACATCATATACATATCATTAAATGTGTTTTATAGGTTTGGTCTTCAAAATCTAAAGACATTGTTATTATTATTGTAATCACACTATAATGCACTTTGCACTACATGTCACCCTGTTTATCCGGACGCACACAAACACTCAATCGCACTCAAAAGACCGCAGTCTCTAACAAATGTTTGCACCCCCCGCTGAGACTATAAACTGCTCTGTTCTCGTGGCCTCGTCTCGGCAGGGCCACAGAGACCTCTCGTTATGTCGACAGACTCTTGAACACACCATTAGCTGGAGATGAATATGTCATAAGGAATATGCAAGGATTGGACAATGAACGATGAAGTAGGCAGCGTGGGCCTTGGTCCCAGTGAGTGTGGTGTTTACAGTTAAGGTCAGTGTGATTTAGAGCATACAAGGGACCTACTAGAGGTTTTATAATGGATGGAGAGAGGGCTATTTGGTGGCCATGAGTGTGTTGTTGTCCCGGTTCTCTGTTTACATGTCCATTTCTATGCACTTACCTGTCTTTGTGACCATATGTGCTTATTAAGGGCCATTTTACCCATATTACAAAACAACATATTTTTCTCCTGAGCCCTAGTGCTATCTATCGATTCAAAGAGTTCAAAGATACCTTGAGGGGTCTCAAGATGGATCTAATGTTTTGCATGATGTTTACCAAGAAAGCAAAGAGGAAGAAAAACATTTTTTTCCCCCCACAAAATTGTGTTTTTTACTTTTGCAGAAGTTTCCCTCGTCTTACTTTAGTTTTTTTGTGAAATACTGGTTAGTTTTACCTGTTCCCTCTGTGCTTGAAGTTCTCCCAGCTCATTAAAAATCTTAGTAATTCTTGAAACATTGGGTATTTTAGTTCAAACAGACAGAAAATAGCCGGCTTCTCATTTCTTACAGTTCTGAATGACAACTGTTGGTGGCAGATGCTATTAACCAGGCCGGCTGTCAGGAGGGGTCAAAGGTTACAGACAAAGTGGAACAATTTACTTACTGGCCTGTATTACTGATAATACAATTTATATTGCACAATAAACAGTGTGTTCACCAGTGGTCAATAAAGGGCTACAGTGTGAACTAGAAAATAAAAGAAACAGAGAGGCAATGGGCAAATCTCTGTATGAAAGGCAAAGCTGAGTGTTGCAAAGATGCAGAGCTGGGAACGCTAGCAAATAAAGCTTTAACTAGCGTAAACTTTTAGTAACGTAAGCACACAGCTGCAATGTCCTTATAAGGCTTTATATTGGAACTTGATGGAGGCTAATGGCTAAAATCTGAAATTGCCCGTGTTGATATTAGAGCTAAGGGTGGGTGGTGGGTGGAGTTGGTGTGGATAAGTGTAAATAGCTGAAAACGTTGTCTCTGACTTGTCAGTTTTAAAACAGGAACAGGAACCTAGTTTTTTCTTGTGAAATACTGAGTAGTGTCTCTTTATCAAAAAAAAAAAAAAGATTGAAATTAAGCAACACGAGCCAATTCCTTTTTTCTTAAGGCACTCACAATTCAAAGCAAGTGTGTAACCTTTGATAAGGAATCGTAAGTGAAATCTGGATCGTTTTAAAGGGTCACAAAGGTTAGAGAACACTGACCCAGTAGTGTAATTTTTAAATTCTGTGAACACCACAAATAAAATTCAGTTCACATCGATTGTAGTGTGGCGGTGGCAGAGCTTCGGAGGGAAAAATCTTGTTAAACCTTCAACCTTAGCAAATAAGATCAAACATATTTTATTGATAATTTGTTTGAACTGACCCTTTAGTATAAGCACGATCAAACGGGTGTCTATATGTGACCTGTAAAACAAGATGATGCTCTCCGTCTGGCTGCATTTCCTCCCTGGTCATAAAGAATGAGATCTGTGGGCACTATGAGGGCACCACGAGGTCACTGCACCATCATTTGTTTTCTGCCAGCGTGCTCAACTATTGATTCTGACACCAGCGCTCAAGGCAAATGTCGTTCGCGTTTACCCGGATTAATTAAAAAGTCCCTCACGTCACGCTGCCTCGAGGTGTGACCTCACTGTCAATACCGGCTTTCAAACTTGGAAGGCATTTTGTGGGCGACACAGTTTACAGCGAGAGAACGTTTTGGTGATATCTTAACCTCTGTTTACCTCATCTGTCGTCACTCAGATTGGTCAGTCAAGCTAGAAAAATCAATACGAATTGCTATGTTGTTTTTGGCAAAAAAAGTGTCATTAACCCGGCCATTAGTTCTATTATAGTCTCCTGCTCACATTTTAAAAGAATTGGACAGGATGGAGTTGTGATTAGCAAGGTGAGGGCCAATCACTAAAGCACATGCTTTGCTTATTATTTTTCCACTTTCTCTCTCTGCAAAACAAACTTACACTCCCACCCTGCCCTCTCTCTAAAGAGCATGACAATTATGCCTGCAATTAGAAAATAATTGTTTTCATTATCAACCTAGGTAATGCTGTTTGTCAGACTTTAAAATAGACTGTGCCTTGTGTTCCCACCTGCCCAGTTTTTAAAAAAAAACCTGCATGGTGCCTGCACAGTGGAGCACAAAACACTATATTTAGTAATCTGGTTGAAGCAAAGATAAGCCTGGATGTGCAGCACTTTTGCGTGGTAACATTTAATTGTCAGCTAGGTTTTTATCTACAGTGCAGTAAATTGCAGCGAGCAAGTAAAAGCACTTGGCCCCTTAAAAGGCAAACATTTTAGCCACTTGTCATCAGCACTATTTTACACTTGAAATGCAGATAAGACATAATCTGTGGTAATGTTTATCTGTAGAATGGCATTAAGGAGAGACAATGCTGATGTACTGTACAACTGACAGAATAGCTATAGAGAGCGAAGGCCGAACATCATCTTCAGTTCAGCTGCTGCTCCACTAGCATCTGTAACTCACTGCAGTTTTTACTGAGACTTTTTTTTATTGGTCTCTCTTAAAAAGTAAGTGTGTACCTTGGGTTTACTATGCATATTCTTATTCTAAGATAAATGAGTACCTACTACAGCTATTAAAATGTTAACCCTGTACAAATGCCATTACATTTTTTGGCATCCATACAACTTCAGCTCACAGTACATAGGTATTATACGCCATAACTGTTTCTCCCTTAGCCGTAATATCCTTCAACTCTGTCCTCTGATCTCTGCAGCCAAAACATTGTCTTCACCTTTCAGGCATCTGAGGTCAGGTTCATCAAATTTGCAACAACCAAGCTACAATTTGCGATGTGACACCATTTCCGTTTTCTGTTAATTAAGACATGTTTCTCTAATTAAAACAAATGCCATACCTGCGACTCATGCCCGACAATGCGAGAGCCCTGTAGGACTTTATCTGCAATTTGCAAGTGACAATTAAACAGGCTCCAGTCTCAAGCCGTCAAGCTTGTGCCGTTAACCCGAGACGGTCTCAGGTTTGTGGGAAATGGTGTTTTTTAAAGGCCACTACAAAACAGAAATATTAAATAACCAATGATTTTACCTCGTTAGCATCTCAGGCAAGGGGCATCTTGGTAGCCCACTGGTTAAAACTCATACCATATAACTGCAGTGTGTGATTATAGCTTTGTTAGGGACAATGTCCTTCCCCTGTCTCCACTTGAATCCTATCTGTTTCTACTGTCTCACGTTAAAAAAAAAAGGTTTAAATGCTTAAACAGTGGTTCTCAAACTGCAGGGGGGGCCCCATTGGTGGGACATAGAGCAATTGCAGGCAGGGACAGGATGAACAAAGTTGAATGAATATGATTTATGTAGGGAAGAGTTTGATGCTATTGTGCTAACCTTTTTGTTTCAATTTGGGTCCCCAAAAATTGTGGGGGTGTGGGGCATGAACTTTTTTAGCATGCCAGAAAAGGTTTCTACATACATATAGTTATGTTGTAGGGTTGGATTTTAATTTGGGTTTATTTGCTTCTCAATCAGTCACCAAAAGTCTGTAGCTACTGCATTAACTCAGCTTTTCAGTGATTACACCTGACCATCTATCCATTCTTTTGTCTGCAGGTGATGTCATCGTCTACATCAATGATGTGTGCGTCCTGGGCACCACTCACGCCGACGTGGTCAAACTCTTCCAGTCGGTTCCAATCGGCCAGAGCGTCACCCTCGTCCTGTGTCGTGGTTACCCTCTGCCCTACGACCCAGAGGAAGCTGCCAACACCAACAACAACACCACCACCACCATCATCTCCCCGCTGGGCATCATGGAGCAGCGGCCCATCATGGTGAACGGCAGGACAGGATACGACAACTACCTGGACTATCTCTCCCGCACGGCGCGCTTTGTCACAGACCCCAGTCAGGACCAGGTCAACGCCCAGCAGCAGCTGCTCACCCCTCACCCGGGTGACACCCACCTAGACGGCTCGCTTCCTCCCACCACCGGCACCACGCCTCCTGACAGCGTCTCCATGGCATCTTCAGGGGCGACCCAGGGAGAACTTCTCACCCTGACCATGGTGAAGGGCATGGATGGTTTTGGCTTCACCATCGCGGACAGCGCTACGGGCCAGCGAGTGAAACAAGTGCTGGAGCCTCTGGGCTGCCCGGGCCTGTGCGAGGGTGACCTGATTGTGGAGATTAACAAGCAACCCGTGCAGGGATTCACACACACGCAGGTGGTGGAGCTTCTCAAGGAGTGTGGCGTCGGAGCTGAGACCTGCCTGGTGGTTCAGAGAGGTGGAACAGGTAAGACCAGTGGCTGCAGATAAGGATGGTGTAGAAGATGATCGGCTCACCGTGAGAGCTTCAATCTCTCCACAGCCACTCCATATTTGCATTTCTAGCTGCAATTTGTCTGCCTATTCATCTGTGTCATCTTTTGTAGCCGAGTGTGTTTGTACGTGTGGTCCAGTCCAAAGGCTGCAGAAAACCTATTATGCAGTCCTGCAGTGCTCAACAATGGCTGACTGATGCACAGCTCCTCTCAAGTGCCCTTCCTAGTCCTCTTCTCTTTACTCAGGGAGAAAAACAGCTTTGCTTCACTTTACTTAAGTAGATGCTTCTCCGCTCTGCTCACTGAGCCATACCTCCTAGTGGTCAACAAATATCTCTTGTTTCAAGTGCAGGCTTTTAGTAGTGCTTTTTTATTTTCAACGTCTGTCAGAGTTTTGTTTTGTCACTTTCTTACATATGGTATATTTTACCATCTTTTGTAAGCCACGAATAAAAGCCTCAAAATTAAAACGTGTCAAAGGTAGGACAGTTTTTGAACAAAAATACTGGTAGACTGCAAATGGCTCTGAAGTGCTTTCTACCCTGTGTTTTTCCGAATATGTGGCCCTCTGACAATCATAATTATGCACTGCACTCTGTCATGAGGCACACACAGGGTTGTGATTTGTAGAATCAACAGGTAGTCGACTTTTTTCAGCTCTGAGTGTGTGCGGTATGTTGGAGGCATTGTTTGTGGAGTGTGTAGAAATGTCCTGGAAAAGGCTGAAACCTTTAGACAGGTTACCTCTAAGACACCTTCGACATTGAAAGAAAAAGAAGAGGAAAACATTCACTGCCATGTCGGAATGTCTACACGGCTCCATGTCTACACGGCTCCAAAGACGGAACATAAGTTCTGTCTAAGCCTGCTGTGATCTGCCTACAAATTGAGTTTGCCTTCTTATTGAATTGTGGAGGTAGTGCGTCTGCCAGCGATGACTCAGCCAAAGCTCCGATGTTGAAGATTAAAACGTTAGATTTTAATTAAATCTAGAAACAGCAACAGTGGCTCCTCATCAACCAAGCAGATAGGATCTGTCTCTGAAACCTTGTTGTTAAATGTTGTTAAATGATTCACCTCTTTGAGTTTACCTGTCCTTGATTTATCTTGGCATCCTCTAAGTGATGACACGTGAACTTTAGCACTCGCACTCACTCGTAGTGCGAGCTGGAAGCCGAGCCAACTGGATTGTGGAAACCCAAACTGCTTTTGCTTTTGTGTGGAACCAATTTGTAGTTCTGTATTTTGCCTCTTTGTGTAGCGTAATGTCACATACCAATCATAATGCCAACTGCCCGGTGCCACAGACACCACTGAGACTCACCCACAAAGGTCAGTGGCGTTCTCTGAATAGATTTATTGCCATTTATTTCTTTATTAGGCTGCCCATGTCGCTGTCAGCGAGCAGGGAGCCAACAAACAAGAACAGGAGAAACAGAGTGAAGACATTAGCTTCTAGGAGCGGAAAATAGGACATTTTCTCATCCAGAAAAGGGAGAAAAATAAATATTTTTTAAGCCAGTACCTCTAAAATGTCATCTGCCAACATATAAACACCCATACACACATGGGAGAGGTCAAAAGTTTTTTTGCCACCATCTCCACAATCTCCAATCTGTCAACACACTCCCCACACACAAACATAAAAACACACAGTCTCCCATCTGCGCAGGAAGCCAACGGTGAAGTGCTCCCGCCATCTGTCCGGGTTCTTCACTCGCGGCAGAGCTTTAGAAGGTCGAAACAAGCGCTGCCTTCTAAAAAGCAGCCCGTTGGCCCGTGGAGAAAAATGGCAACCTTATTTACATGCTATATTTCATCTCATTATTCTAAATCTGGGTATGGCTCAGCTCCACTACACAACAATACGCCGGGGTGAAGCGTCACATCTGTTTGTGTTGATTTCCCGTGACATGACAAGCTGTGGGTGCTAGAGGTGGAAAAAAAAAAAATGACTATGCCACCCAGCCGCTCTTACAGTAGCATAACTACATATGGCGCACATGTGTGTAAGACATGGCTAAGTCTTCGAAAAGGTGCCAAAGATAGATATACATCTCTTGAGAGTGTTTTTGTGATTAAACCAGAAAAATAGTCAGACTTTAAGCTCATTAAGATCAGAGACTTCAGATCCTCCTGGGAAGAAAACTATCACAGTAAAGTCTTTGTAATGTTTGTCTGTAAACTCATGACGGAGATAAACAGGGAGAGTGGGACTAAGGAGAAAACCACTTATATTAGATTTTTTTCATGTGACAAAGCTAAGGATCTGTCTTGTGATGTTCGCTTTGTTGGTTTTTACATCTTTAGTTGTCTCTTTTGGTAATACAGCACGGGGTTAAGATGCTGTTTTCATTCTAACAGGTAGAAATTTGGGCAGTGGTTCCCAACTTAGGGGTCGAAAAAGGAAAGCAGTGAATTGTTGTTCTAAACTTTTCTTTAAATTTTTTGCTTCTGTCTCATGAAATAGTTTTACCTCTTTGGGCCTTTGCAGCGAGACCTTGGTCGGTGTAATGAGAGAATGAATTGCTGTTGTTTTTTAGCAGTATGTGAAGCAGCATTTCATCACAGAACGAAACTGAAAAATCTATTCCTGCATCAAATTAGGGTAGTTTCATGACATTTGAAATAGGAGACTGTCGTCGTCAGTGTTTGTGTTTCTGCACGCAATGTTCAGCAACATAAATACTACAGACTGTGAGACTTGAGTTGCAGCTGATTCTCTCAGAAAGGCCAGCTCCAAGTGTTCAGCCAAGCTATTACACCTCGTAATAAAACTGTCACCATGCTGCTGGAATGATGTTCCACCGCTTAACACGCCACAGTTTTGCCCCCGCTCCTTTGGACCACTGGACACCGGCCACACAATCTAATTGAACTGGCTGTTTCTCTTGTTAAGAGCTTGTGCCACTAGTCAGTGTAGTATAAAGAGAGAGAGAGGCAACCGACTGATATCCGTCACCAAACAACTGTTACGCTCCCGTCTCTCTCCAAATATTTGTCAGTTCAGGGGCGAGCAAACAGCTCATCACTTTTACTGAAAACACAATCTGAAGCGGAGGATTGAACGGGCACCGAGAGCTGACTAAGTTTAAAAGTGTGAGAGTGTGCATATTTCTGCATGACTGAATCTTTTTTGGAATGACTGCCTGTTTATCCTGCGGACCGAGCTACCACCTCTTAGCATCTGGTCTCAGGGAGAACACACACATAGTCAAATACCGTAGCATTTACACTTTCATAACTCCCACAATCTAACAGTATTGTTATGGCTACTTAATGGTGCCGTTGCTATGATGATACACTCCCGGCATCAGGTCTCTTTCTCTCTCGCTTAAACACACCTTCTGGCTTTGTTTCAGCCCTACATGTGTGAAGACACAGAAAGGAAAGAAGCAGAGAAATAATGTAAAGGAGCCGCTGAGTGAGAATTAAAAACAGAGAACAGCAGTTTTACTCTCCGTTCAACCAGACTCGTCTTGCTTGGCTTGATGTTGTCATGGACACAGTAAAGACTGCAGAGTTATAGTTGTAATTCAGAGCGTACATGTAGACTTGTAGCATCAATAAATCATTGCCTCTATCTTTTTGAGACATAGGTATAATCATCATTAACAAAAGAGACAATCATGAGGAGGAAAAGTGGCAGCTTCTAACACACTGCTTTTTACTTTCTTCATCGCTGCATCTGATTGCAGACAGAAATCTGGAGATTTGCTCTTTCATTCAGAAGTTCGGGTGCTCTACAGTTTGTTTCAAAGGAACATTGTGAGCTAAGTGAGGCAGTGTTCAGCATCTTTTTCAGGAAGGAAAAAGAGAAGATATTCCTCCCATTCAGACTCATGTCGGACAACTAATGGATTAATCAGCTAATTATTTCTGCACTGTAATAATTACACCTAGTCTGATAATCAGGCTGAATTGCCACTTTGTTTCACTTCTTGTTGGCAGTGGAGGTTATTTTGTTTTGTTTTGCCCTAATCAGGAGAGAGTCATCCGCCACACTGACTGCTTTTTTTAGTTGACAGAGAAGCTGCAATTAACTTCAGCGTCAATCCACTTCTAAGGTTTTTTTTTTTTTATGTAGCTTGATAGTTATGTGCAAAGATGACGTAACCATTCCTAATCCCGCCTGTCAAGCTCTGATTTGGTAGAAAGAGCCATCAGTTGTTCAGTGATTTAGATGTCTCGAACAGGGCTAAATTATACTAAGCTATCAATATGTAAGTCATAAGTCACTGTGTGGCTGATAAGAAACCAGTGGAGATAAACATAGTCCAGCACATAACCTGCATGTGTGTTTTTTTTTTTGTGTTTTTGTGCAGCTTTGGAGCTCTGCAGGAAGAGTTTATCTTCTGATAGAGCCAGGATAGCTGTTTCCTCTTGTTGCTAAGTTAATAAATTGTTGGGTGTAGCTTCATACATAGTGTACAGACTTGAGAGTGGGATCTCTTTAACAAAGCAAATAAGTGTATGTCCCAAAATGTCAAACTTTTCCTTTAAAGGAAGCATTTTATTCTTAAGTTAACTCTATAATCTGTGGTCAGCTGGTGATACTGCCCTAAAAATGATTATGTTTTGGCTGTCATTGTAATGATCTTTTTTACTGAACAGGTTTTAGTTTTTCTATGTTCCCCCTGGCATGTGTCATGACTTTGAGAGAACTCGCCATCAAAAGCGACACATCAGAGCCAAGCTGACCGCCAAATCGCCGTCCAAAAACGGAGCCATTTATGATCAAACCATGCAGTCAATTAAGCTCTATCACCTTCAAAAAGCCCACGCTCGTAATATAGTTATGATATTTAGCCATCCCTTAAATTTCAGTTTGACTCATGAGCCATTTTTGGCTAACAAATGGGCACACTGTCTCTCATCACCCGTAATTATTGTGCCTATGTGTGCGTGTGCCAGCGTGTGTGTGTGTGTGTGTGTTTGTGTGTGCATGGCAGACAGCCTCATTAGTGGCTATCTAGACCATTAACAGGCTGTGTCCTTGTTGCCACACCAGCAGAGACGCAGGGCTGTAAATAGCCGCAGAGACTTTCAGCTCGTTCACATGTACGCTCGGCCATTTAGCTTCCTCTAACTTGCCTTGCTGCCGGCCGCCCACACGCTCACACACAAGCACTGGGCCACATGGTTTGATTCACACAGGTTGTACGCACACCTACACGACAGCCAGGCACACACACTCTCCTCGTCTTATTCGCACACATCCCAAGGCAGTCTTCTGGACGCAAGCCCCCGCACATTTACGTAAACTCCCCTTTCTAGTACTGTCATGGGTAAATTGTACATTATGAATCAGCTGTCTGGCGTGACCTTTCACCTGAGAGCTGTAGCGTGCATACGGATGACCAGAGGCCGCTCCGAGAACCATGCAGAAGGTCCGCTTTGTAGAGAAAGAAAAGAAGAAGGCGGATTTGATTCACTGTGCCTCCTCCAGCCTCCCAGGGAATTGGTGTGTAACTAGACAGTGATTCATTGGATGTGTGTGTGCTGGATAGAATAGTTGGAAACAAAAGAGAGAAACAGAAAGGGAGGAGAGAGCAGGGGAGTGATGACTTCGGCTCTCTGCCAGTAGAACACAGACTGTCGGCCATGTTCACACTTACAGCTCTGTCCCCACCAGCTCCAGACCCGGAGGAGCCGCCCGCCAGGGATCAATATCCCGTCCGGTCGGCCCCCGGGAAGACAGCCAAGGGCCCGGTGCCTGAAGGGCAAGATGCTGAGATTAGATCATAGCAGAAATAGAAAGGGTTAAACAAAAGATGATGTTCTTTAGCCTTATTGCCATCAAAATTAAATCACGCAAAAGTTTGGCTCTGCATCTCCTCCCTGTGTGTGGGAGGAGCAGCATTACTAACCTTCGTGGCCTCTTTAACAAATCAAGCGCTCCTATTTGAGGTTTAATGGGATGGAGCGATTACCCAGTGAGTGCACGGTTAAATAAATTGTGCTGTTTTGAGCTTTAATAGCATGCATATTCAACCGTACACCTTTTCAAATTATTTGGTTTGCTACTAAGAGGCCTGGGTTTCGAGAACAACCGGCGAACATGGAAAGGGAAAGTGAATAGATGGAGAGATGGAGATACATATTCATAAATGGCTGAAAGATTCATACCCGCTGCCATCAATTCTAGTGTCATCATAGTCTCATTTTAATAAATGGAGGGCTAGTATTAGCCTCTCATTGTTAAATTAAAAGGATCTGTGTCTTTATATGTGTGTTAAATGGCGTGTTGATGTGTGCACACCTTTGGCAGTTTTGTTTTATTTGTCGCCCACACAGTGTACGTTTTGATTTATTCACTTTTTGATAAACCATAGCCACAGGTGGCTTTAAACAAACTTATAATGAATATAGTAATGGGTAATAATGAATATTTTTTACCTTTTGGGAACAAGATAACTTTAAGTTTTATGGATATTGTGTACACATGTTTTTTGTCTAATAGGAATATTTGGGGTACTAATGCTTCTATAAATTCATTTTTATCTTAACTTAATCGCCTATTTTATAGGCATTCAGCCATTATCTTCCATGAATGTGAAAAGGTTTTAACGTATTAATACCGTCTTAATCAATCTGATATGTGCTTGTATCATTTTTGCTTTCTTTTGCTTCAAAACTTTGAACAAAAGTTTGTTGAAGTTTGCTGACGTCTAAACTCACAATCATTCCACATGAGCCTTTTTTTTTCTCAGTTGTCACGTTGCAAAGGCTGTGTGAGTCGCTGGCGTTGACTCACCAGGCACCATTATTGCTGGAGGAACTAGACGACTCAGCACCCTTGGAGCGGAAAAAAGGCTCTCTGGAAACACCTCCAGTTCAGAATTCTTTAATCTGAGTTTTGGGCAGAAATTGAATACGAGGCACGACTTCAACCAAACGTGTCTGAAGCGTCTGAAGTCATGCCAGGGCTGAGGTTGGGGGTGAAGCACATATGCACAGGCACACAATCACACACTATGGATTTAGGGACTCTTGCCCTGTCATTATAGAGCCAGAATAAGTGAGATATCCTGCCTTCATTACTGGTGTTATACTAGTGTTGCCTGCACCACAAAAAGGGTAACACTTACAGAAGGCACGAGACCCCAGTCGGGTTAGAACCAAAGTGTAAGTTTGACACCACCGAATTCATGTAACTTTTCTGCTACTGAGCTGACAAGTCTGGTTAGCATTCAGGCTCAATGCTTTCAGGACCACGGACAGCTCCTAACACTCTCTCTCTTTCTCTCAGTCTCTCTGTCTGTCTCTCGGCCCCCTTCTCAACTTTTAGCCATGGGGCACTCTGACACCCACGTCCAACTAAATGTCTGGCACGCCTGAGTTAGCAGTGACTCTACCCTGAGGATCACCTCGGTCAGTGATGCCTGGTAGTGTCCTTCTCTTCTGTCTGTCCGGCTCAGCTCAGGTTCCGTCACCCACACTGAGGACTGCTCCGTTGTTGCCCTCTTTTGCTCGCTGTGTCCTTAAGACTCAGTTAGATGTAGGTATTCTGGACAGAAAGCCATTCATTGATTGACCGTCTTTGGCATGAAAAGAAAAACATCCCCTCTGTGCCTCGCTGTCATCATACTTTTTAAAATATTCTTTCTTGTTTCTGGCTGATAAAATGTCCCTGTGCGCATTGACAGTGAAATTGAGTTTTAGATAAGCTCTTGTAGCGGTGTTTGTGCCTCTATTTGTTTATTTTGACTGAGAGACGCTGGCAGTTTGAAAAACATTTCTGTATTTTTTATTTATTTATTTTTTTTGCATTGCTTTTGTTGATTTCCATGTTGTCACCATTCCACTTGCGGCTCAGCGAGGGGAATGTTTTTACAGTGCGATTTGAGTCTCGCCAGGCCAGCTCTGGGAAGGCTGGTGCATAATTCGAGCAGTCACCCCCATAATTCTATACCTCCATTTGCATATGCTTGTAGCGTCCCACAGGGGGAGAGCGTGGCAGCACTTGAAAGACAGGAAGGACAGAAATTGAATCAGGAAGATGGAGCGTGCACCTGTTTTTTTTCTTTTCTTTACATACTCCTGTGAATTTGCCTATAGACACAATGTTGGAGCATATGTTGCTGTCTGTGTGTGCATGCATGTATCACTTACTGTCAGCTGCTGCTGTTGTGCTTTTTTACTGATTTTTCTTTTTTTCATCTTTCCAAGATGGATTTTCTGGGTGTTGTGCGTGAACAATGTTGTAAACAGCAAAAGTGTGGCGTATGTTTTTAAAGGTCAAAGCAAGATGAATGGCAAAGTCAAAGGAAAACGTGTGCCCTTTACCTTGGTGCGCTGCAATACAAACTGAAACCACTTTATTGTGAGGTACAGTCAACCTGAACCCACTTAAGTGAAACATTCTCACACTCTATTGCCTTTTCAATGTCAATACAGAGGCCTCAGTTGGATTCACAGAATGTCCCCTTTTGCAAACAAAACAGAAAGCCAGTCCTCATAATAAATGCTCTATTTGATGAAATTGGAGGTGAAGATAGATGGAAGGGGCATAAAAAAAAAAACAGAAATAGCAGCTTTACTCTCACTAGTGTTTTCAGCAAGAAAGCTCTGATGGACCCACTGTAATCAGCACCGGACGGGTCTTAAGACTACAAGTTTGAAAATGAAAAGAATCTGTGGGGGTGTTAGAGAGTGAGGGAGAGCTTACCAGACCTCTGTAGCCTGCTCCTCGTGTCTGCTAGAGGCTCACAGTTCGAGGCTGAGTTACCTGGTACGAACATAACACGCCTGAATCTCCATATGAGCTGTTGGCGGTTGAGTTGCATTGTGGGTACTGTAGGAAGAAGACTTTTCACGGGTTCTGCTTTATCAGTATTAAAGGGGAATTTGGCAACTATTTCAACTTAATAAACCCATTTAGAAATCATTTGGATGGTTAAATGGCCTGTTCCGCTGTTAATGGTGACTTTCCACGCTCCCCTAGCGTCCCCAGGCGGAAAACCAACCTTGCAACTTTGGGACTACCGTCCCGTTAAGTTGGAAATAGGAAGTATCGTGAGAAGCGAGAACGAGCGAGAAACACAAACTGCTTTACGGCAATTCCACATAAACGCAATGTTCTATGATACTGTGTATAATGTATTACCCACCTCGGTAATATTGCTCCACACGAAAAAGTTGCCCAGCAACAAATGCACATCAGCAGCGGTAGAAAGGGGGAGGAGGGGGCCGCAAGTGAGTTTTTTTACAACAGTTTTGTGAAATATACGTCCCAGAGCTATAGGGGGAGCTCGTTGAGAAAACATGCAACGACAAAAGTGAAAACCAGCGAAGAAATGGCTTGAGTTGCCAAGTTCCCCTTTAAAAAATGCAACGCTGAATCGGTGGATTACTCTAATAAAAGGTGATAATATGTCACTTAGTGTTGTTTACTACCCCCAAGTGCCCCGCCCAAAAGAAATTAGCTAGTGCAGCTTAAATATAATATAAATTTTTATGCTTTTTAAAAATGTTCTCAGTGTATAAAATTCCAAAGTAACATAAACACACACAAGGAAAAGATGAATTCATCATTGCCTTTAAAATAATTTTTTCACCACCGGCTGATCACATCTTCTGCTTCGTGCTTTTATCCAGTTTGAGTCTGTTGTGCTTTCCTTTGTCCTTTCTACCATTCACAAACGCTGTATTCATGTCATATTCTTGTTTTCATTCGTTTGTCTGTAATTTTGTTGATACTGGGGGGTTTTTTTTCCCTTCACTTTATTATCTCCAAACATCCCCTGGAATTGGCTTCCACAGAAATCAAACCTTCTTTTCTACCATCTTTTTCAGTCTAAAGCATTTTTTTGTTCTCTCAACATTGCAGGTCACTATTCACCCTGGAAGACCCCTAAGCAGGTAACATGCACCAGCCTCCAAAACGTGGACTGTCCCCATTTCTGCTTTTTAATCATTAATATACAGTAGATTTTCACTTTAGTACCAGTGGCTGCAGTGTGCATCCTCTATGTGCTTATCAGAATGACTCTAATCTTATTTTTTAAATGTTTTTAAGATCTAAAAATGACTTTTCAGTCCCTCTTTCGCCGTACTAACTCTACTGATGATTCACGATATGTCCCTGGCTTTTACAACACCTCGATATTCAGCCCTTCTTTATTATCACAGGATGGCAAAAAGGTCAAGTAGCCCGCTCGTAATATCACTAGACTCTTGAACCTGCAAGTCAGAGCTTATTCATGGGCCTGACTCAGTGCCATCAGAGTTATCCACATTCAGGGCATTTGAGTTATGCTACAGCTATAGAGCTTCTGAGTCTCTGTTCTAACTGCTTTGGCATGGCTCAGATGCATTTTCATCCCTCTTTTATCTTCATTTTGTACAATTTTTCCAATCTTAAAAGCTCTTTTGTACTTTCATGCGACCCTGCATTTGCTCCGTGGTCATTTATCTATCACCTCGCCTTTATTTCCTTTTGTCACATTAAGCAAAAGCCCTCATGTGGTATCTCTGCAGACGTGCATTTAACCTCTTCTCTTGCCTCCTCTGCCGCCATAAATACTCTAGTATCATTTGCTGCCCGTGGACAAACTAAAATAAACTATCCACCAAACATCCACTTAGATCACATACACTTTGTCTTTTTGTGTATTTGTCACACTCACATGCCTGCACACGAGTGTTTCTGTCCATCTTTCTTTGTTTCCCTTTGTGCGACTATGTGTGTAATTCATTTCATGCCTCGACGCTGCTTTGACCAGCCCCTGACCCCGACTCATGTTGTCCCCATTCCAGATCGCAACTAACACAGGAAAAAACCTCCATTGTGTGGCCGTTAAGACATCTGTCCCCTGAAATCCCCGTCATTGTTCATTTCTGCTCCCTCGCGATTTAATCAATCTCCTCCATCTCCCTCAAAATAATTGTAATTCTTGAGCTCTGAGGGGAAAAGCTTTGAACGTCACCAAGTAGCATACAGTGTGCAGAACCTCTTTCTCGTGTCTTGTCTGTTCACATCTCTCGTCTTTACCCCCCCAGTGTTCATTTGTTGGCTGCCTCACCCCGCCCTGCCCCTCTCCCCCAGCTCCTGAACACACCAGAGTTTAGTCTCGGTTTAATTGGGTATCATTTGTTACAGGAAGACTTGTGCAGCTCTGAGAATAAAATATGGAGGAATTTGACTAATAAGGGAAGAAAGGGGAATCACCTAATTGTCGTATCGACCCACAGACTAGCGAAGGCTGCAGCTCTCGAGAGTTTCATTTGCAAATGAGCTTATCGAGATTTGTCTGTCAAATCCAGCCAATACCGTAGGTAACTGAGAGGTGGGTAGGTGCTTAATGTTGGAGCACGTGCAGGTGTTTTTATTCAATAATCCTGTATTATAAAGGAGACCCTGCCTGCAGTGTCCTCTATCCAGCGGACCAAATAGATTATAGCCAGAGTACTTGCTTCAACAGTCTTAATCAAACAGACTAAAAGAGACAGAGAGTGAAAGAGAGATCAGGATGCAGTAGTCTAATCCCAGCCTTAACAAGGTCCCCAGCCTCGGCAGCATGCCCTGTGCAGACGTGTCTGCCATTGATGTAAGAATGAAACCACAAAGAGTGGAAACACTTTTTGATTCCAGAGCTTTTTATGAAGCTGATATTTATTCTCGGTACATCTTGAACCAGATGCCCTGTAATTCTCAATATTAAAGCATGCCATATGCAGCCAGTCTCGCCGTCTCAGTTTCAAAAAGCTTGTCGTTCCCTCCGGATCCGTCTGTCACACTTTCTGACATGTCGACGTGTCATCTTGGCTATCTGCTTAGTGTCGTGCCGTGACTCAAGCGGCCTGGCTCATCTGACACATCAATGCTGACACTGACTGACTGGTGTTGTCAAAACTGCCGGTGTCACCTCAAACACTTGTCACTTTCCAAATATGTTTTTGGATGAAACTTGAATTGCAAATTGAATATAATATACAATGTACTACCTTATAAAAACAATGCAATTTGAAATAACAAGATACCAGAGTTGCTGTCATCCTCAAACCCCCCTCCAAATAGGGCCATATTTATCTGTATATCACATTCTTCTATATGTTTTCCTCTCCTTCCAACTACTAACCTCACTAACTGTCTGGCTTCCCGTCTGTCTAGCACTAATTGAACATTTGCTAAACCCCTCCACCGAATGGCGATTGTCCAGTCAGAGCTCATCAACGGCCTGTCAAGCTTTGGATTTCTCCACATGCCGAAACTTTGTAACATGGACGATAGAGCGATAACTAAATTGTTTGGAGGCTTGTGTCTATTTTACAATAATAATAATAATAATAATAAATGTTATTTATATAGCACTTCTCAGAAAGAAAATGCTTTACAAGACAAAATACAAATCGTAGACCATCATTAAGACAGTATACCAGTTATACAGCACTGAGCAAAAGGGGTACATATGAGAGAGTAAAATAAGTCAAATAAATCAATGTAAAATAATTAAAATAAGAGTTGAGAGAGTGCCTTTGTAAAATTTAAGAAGTGACTCAACAGATAAAATAGAATTCAGATCTCAAATCCTGTGAAAGCGGACTTGTGAAAATATGTTTTTAAGAGGGATTTAAAGAGGATAAGGAGCTCAGTGTGATCTCCTCGGGGAGGTTGTTCCAGAGAGTGGGAGCCCTAACAGAAAAGGCCTGGTCACCCTTAGTCCTCTCAGGTTGTGACTGTAACAATGAATGTGTGACTCTGCAAGTTCAGAGCGGGGCCATGAAATCTTAAAATCAGTTTTTAAATGTATTAATGAGCCAGTGAAGAGAAGCTGAAGTAATGTGCTCTCCTTTTTGGGGGGGTTTTGGTGAGGAGTCTGCTGCATTTTCATCATAAGCTGGTGAAGATGGTGACTTTTTGCCTTGGGAGCTATAGCCTCAATTATTAAGAATGTATGTAGCCATCGTGTGCAGAGCTTTGGTCCTTTTACAGGCTTTTCATTTTTAAATAAATCCAATGAAAACATAAAAAATTAAGCTGGAGACAGGATTTTTTAACTGACTGAATTTTACCACTATCATCATCTTCTGAAGCTAGCTACAGCAAATAAAATCAACTAGGAACAGTCGTCACGATTACCTCTGTCTGTAATCGAAGACCCACTGTACATGTTTTAAGGTAAATCTGCCTCCATTATCATCGCAAACTGCATGTGTGAGAACCGAACGCTTGACAGGAGCAGTGACAGCAGGCTCAGGGCGGCGGGGGTTTAGCGAACGGTCAAAATTCATAAAAGCAAACTCTTGCTTCAGTTTTTAGTGTTGTTGTCATGGTTACCAAGCTAAAATCGAGTGTCACAAGTGGGAAAGGTGGTAGTGAAATATTGATCCCTCATGCCGCTGTGCTTTACAGGTGCTGGAGCAGTGGGAGTCCCAGCAGGGCCAGAGCAGCCCTGCTCAGACCAGCCTGTCAGCCCCCGTTATCCCACACAGCGCCCCCTTCCCAACCCACCATCTCCACAGGGCCTCGGTCCCAGACTCAGCCTCCGAGGCCTTGGCCCTGGCAAAACCAGACCCCTATGACCTTTATGAGAAGTCCAGGGCTATCTATGAGAGTAGGCGTAAGTACCAGAGCTGATACTGCAGGTGTAGACAAACTCTCCTTTCTAGCACTGAAGAAAAGATGGAACTCCTCATTGGAAGGTGGAGTAGTGAAGGTCTCTTTCTCTCACAAACACACAAATTGAGTCACAGATTCTTTTGTTATTCACCTTTTTGCTGCTCCACAGAAAACTGAAATGAGCTGATCTCTTTGAATCCAACTGAAAGATCTTCACACAATCATCAGACGTTCCGCATTTATATTCCCTCCCCGTTAGCATTCACAGCTACTAATTCCTCATATTATCTCATTTGATCTGTGCTTGTTAAATCCCCACACAAGCACACATATACACACTCACTCACACACAAACAAAACCGGCCATCAGCTCAGTCTTTTCACCGTCTGGAAGGATCTTTACATCCAGACATTGACGTTCTGCCAGCTCACATTGTAAACAGACATAAATAAACACTCCACACAGCAGATGATCTTTTTGAGGACGTAGTGCTTTGGTGCCAGCAATATTACCATCCTCTGACTTGTAAAATGAGAAAAAAATCATTTTTTTCTAATTATATCATCAGGATGCGTCGTAATTCTAATGCCCTGTGGGAATTTTAGGCAGTAGGAACCAGTATGTGTGCTATTGTGTGGGTATATGTGTATTCAGGACTGTAGCATTGAATTTCCATAGTTTTGTCTTTATTTAAATTAGTTAAATTAATTTAGTTGCCCAATTATATCTTCTCTAAATTTAATTTCCAAATGTGAAAGTCTAAATGCTTTAATGCCGTTTCAAAGCATTCTCCATATTGTCTGGAATAAATACGGTTGAATCTTTTATTTATTGGCCTGAAAGTAGTCAAATTTAAATATAGTGAGTCTACTAATGTGTTAGCTTTTAATTATATCATATATCCTCCACGGAAACCCCCAAATTCGCAGAAATACTGAATTACAGCCCTAAAAGTAGTCAAATTTGAACATACTGAGTCTAACAATCATATTTTAACTGAATTAATAGTAGAAGTTTTATAAAACCTCTAAATTCATACAGAGACAGAAAAACTACTGAGGACATTACCTCAGTGTATGTATGTCTACTCTGGTGCTTCATTCGTGCAATTCAAGAGTTAAGAGCCATAAATATTATTCCAAATATGAACGTGCTGTTGTTTTGTGTGTGTGTGTGTTGTGTCAGAATGAGTGGCGCTATCTCAGAGGTTTTGGTTTCTTTGAGGTGGTTGACATGTCAACGTTTTTAACAGACAGGACTTTGTGTTCATTTGTGTGTAAGTCACCTGTTACTCAAGAGGACGCGGCTGTCAGAAAGCCTCTTTTGTCTTTCTGTACCTCTCAGGATCCCTCCCTCCTCCTCAGCTGTGGGTACGCCGATCAGTGTAACGCTCGCTGTTGTCTTCCTTTCAGTCAAGGTCTGGTGAGGCTCAGCAGGGGTTAGGCACAGACAGATTCTTTTTTGGAAAGCTCCATTTGCTCCTCTGGCTGGTGTGGGTGAAGGAGGTTGTGACCTTTTTGGTTTTTTTGGCAGCATCACAACCCCCTCGCTGGCCTCCTGGTGAGCTGCTAATGTTAGGCTCAAAAGATTAATGTCAGCATTTATGTAAACAGGTTGGGTTAAAGGGTCAGGTCAGCAAGGCTACAAGAAAACATATTTTCTCGCTGCCCCTTGTGGTGGAGGCAGATATTTTAAGCTTTCAACTCAATCCTGTGGAAGAAATAGTCCCTGTAAGCTGTAACAGGAGTAACAGGACACTGGTACTGGAAAGTGATGTGGTGTTTTGTGGGAGGCATATTTTTCAAAGACATATAAACCCTTGTAAGTGAGGTAAGTGAGAATAAATGTTTGTGTTTTGTTTGGGTGAACCAATTCTTTAAATGTTTCCTCATGAAGTAGAGAAAGGTGCGAGAGAGAGAGCTGGCATTGGTATAAAGTCTTTTTATATAGTATCAACCCTGGTTAATGCAGAGGTTCTAAAAAGCACTTTGTTATTGTTTCTGTAGATTTCTGCATGGATGTTATTAAAAAAAATTTAATTAATAAATTTTTTTCCTTTGACCTTTGGTAAAATCTATTGATATATTTGATTTTTGAAATCTGGAAACAGCAGTTCACGAAACAATCTCCCCTTAAGAGCCATTGAGTAGCTGCTGTGGAGCTTTTACATAACATGGCATGATCTTCATGAGCAGATTAAGTTGTCAACATAATACTGCCGCACATGTCTGACTCACTGGTGGTTTATTTCTTAATAATGTTTCATCTACACAACCTTGGATCAGGTACACCAAGCATCACAGCTGTTCCATATATCCACTGTACATACTGTAGATGCTGAGTAAATTATCCAAACAGAGGACAACCAACATTAGGTCAACATCTTTAGAAAACACACACATCTTATAATTTGTATACATTTTTATCCAATTTATATTATTCGTAATGGTGGCAGCTTTGCCCTTATTTACCCTTTAAGAAAAAATAGCTTCTTTGCCTGATCACAGGTCCTAGATGGCAATGTGTGTGTTTTCTGTGTGTAATTTGCCAGACTTTGTTTGTGTGATCTTCTGATTGACTAATGGAACTACGTGTGTTTATGGAACAGCTTTGATGTCTGACCATATATCTGATATAGGCTGAGTCAGCCAAAACACCTCAAATAAATTTTCAAGTACCAGTTTACTTAAAGTCTGCTGGGGTTTTTTCATTTTTAGACAAGCTGGGCTTCCCTCCAACACATTTTTTGAAGCTAACATGGACAAGACATCCTTAAAGTTCTCAGATGTAAATGCAAACATCTACAAAACTTGACAATTGAACAAACTACTGTACATCTGGTGATTATGATCATGTGATTTGATCGAACGCTCAGAACTGCTAGTAAATGGACCTTGAGGTGGGATTATTTTATCGATATAAAAAATCACATCGTTTGTGACTTAAAAAAGCATGGCTTTTGTAATTTCATTGGACTTAGTTTTGTTTGAAATGCAGCAAAAACAAGCTAAATCTCTATAAGAAGCACAGCGTGTGGTTTCGGTGGGAACAGCTGCATCACTCGTCTTGTCTGTAGTCATGATTTTCTTTCTCCCATCATTCCTGCTGAGTCCCAACAGAGTGCTCAGTGTGATTAAAACAGTTACAATTGGAATCAATTTTTCATTCGCAGCTACTTGTCTGCGGTTGAGTTCATTTCGCTACTTTGCAGATCATAGCGTTGTGTGAAGTCCCTGATTGCAGATCAGTGCTTGCATCCCACCGCACACTGTAAATAAGGGACGGGTATATTACACACTGTAAGCACTTCCTGACTTTTATGGATGATGCTGAAATTCAGCCGTGACATTAATGCTGAGGCAGAGCCTTTCTGCCTTGTTCTAGCCTTTACACAGAATGTGTGTTTGCTGGTGTCTGCCAATGTGTGCATTTGTGGGTGTCTGTGTATGTACAACATTTGTGCATTTGTTGTTTATGGGTGCTTCCTGTATCTTTTTCTAGAACCTGGCCAACCAAGGACTGTTTTTCCTGTGGACTCCTCAGGTAAAAACCTTACCTCTGCAGGAACACATTTAAAAAAAAAAAAAAAAAACTGTCCATAACCTTAAAAGAAAAAGGGACAGGACTTAAATGTCGTCTGTGGTCGTGTTGCTTCAGGAGCAGAGTACCAGGACATCGAGGTGCACCTGCGCAGACAGAAGTCCGGCTTCGGGTTCCGGGTGCTGGGCGGGGATGAGGCGGGGCAGCCTGTGAGTCCGGAGGCGCGTGAGAAGGCTCGTATGGCGATGGGCGTGGAACCCTGTCATTTTCTCCTCTCTAACCCACTACACACACACCTATACCTAACCCCTGACCTTTGACCCCTGAGAGAGTGCTGGCTCTGGCTGCTTTGGTGTCGTTTGCTGTCTGTTAAAGTAACAAAAACAGTATTTCAATCACGTTACTGAGCTGTTTATTTATCAGTATAACAACCACCTTAACACCCACTGCATGCGACACTCACAGACCAACATCTAAAGCAGTTTCTGCGAACCTCTACTTCCTGTATTTTAACAGTCTGCATGTAATAACAGATCTTGATTGGTGCGATCATCGAGAAGAGCCCGGCAGACCTAGATGGACGCTTACGGCCCGGTGATGAGCTGCTGTTTGTGGACGGGATCCCAGTGGTGGGGAAGCCGCACAGATACGTCATTGACTTGATGCACGGGGCGGCACGGAACGGTCAGGTGAATCTGGTGATCAGGAGGAGGGTACAGGCAGCAGGTGAGGAAACACGAATGGAGGTGACGTTTGGCTTTGTTTAGTTGTTGTTGTTATGAAATTAGAAAGATGTTTCTTTGAAATCAGACATTCATGACTTTATTCCACAGTAGTTTTTATAATTGACTAATAAATGCCAAACATTCACACTTTTCTCAGTTTTTTATTACTGTAGTATCAATAAAAAGTTAATTGAAAAATAATAGTTATAGAAATACAACAGTTAATAGATAAGGAAAGTAATTGCAGTTGAAATTCTATCATTACTTCCTCATTGTTTTTCAAGGTTTTTGTCATTTTTTAGCTCTTATTGGTCACATAAATTATACAAAGGGAAACATGAGGAACGAGAGTGAGGTGATGACATGCAACTAGTCACTTCACCAGTTTAATTCAGGTTACAATTTTGTTGTATCCACCTTAACCGCCACTAGTATTCCGCAATGACAGTTAAATCCTAAGTGTAAACCAATGAGCTATTAGTGATGGAGAGAACGGCAGCTAGAATTGATAAGATGTGTAGGCTCCATTATTAAAACCCCACTGTGAATTACCACTGATACACCTCCATGTAGGAGCAGTTTTCCAATATGTTTGAAGTACCTATTTATACATTTATAAATGATAAGATAATAAAAAATGTTATTAAAAAGAGACCAAAACCAAATATAAATTGATTCCACAAACAAGAATTGTGTGTGTATCCAAAGTCGGATGTATCCTCTGTGCCATAGAACTCCATTCTTGTCCACTATATACCGCTATTAAAAACACATCAGTGAGTCACACTGTTGCATTGGGTGGCATGTGTCTTCATTACCATGAACACACAGTCTGTAGTGTATTTTAAGTCGATCCAACATACGCCGTCCTGCTGCTGTAAAGACTCACTAGAGCCCCCAATGTGTATTACTCCACAGCTGGAAATAGTGGAAAAAATCTCTATCTACTTCCGTCTGAGTAACATTTGAGAAAAGCTTACAGTGCCCTGCTGTTTTAAGAAAATTAAAGATTAAATATTTATGATCCGTTTTAATTGTAAGCCTTCAGTAGGAACCAATGGGCTGAGTACACAGAGTAGGGAAGTCAGAGAGTATTGAGAGACAGACTAACACATTGTTAGTTTTAAAATGTAAAATATCACCAGCCTTATCCTTTAAGTGGTTGAACCGAGTTATAAGTTGGATAAACTGACTCGCTCACTAAAAAAGTCGATTTTTGATGGACACGGTTAATCCTGCAGAGAACAGCTTTAGGATACTGTAAAAGGATATAAAGTGAATTGATCCCACAGACTTACTGCTCCCATCAATTCCTCGTTCTTACACCTCTTTTTTTCTCTCTCCTTTTCTGTTCGCCACTACCATTCTTGTCCTGTAATGATTCAGGAAACAGCATTTAATCAGTCGGAAAACTGAAGCACTAATCTCTCTGAGTAATTACACTGAAGCCTCCCCAAAAAAAAGAAAAAAAGACCACATTAGCACTCTCTTGCTCTTACACACACCGTTGCTCGTTGGTGCTTATTCAAGTTCCTTTCGCCTTTGAGCCTGAAGCCTTCGATGGCACTTCCTCCTGTGAACTCTGCCCTCCCCTGTTCTCATTATTACTGCCTCCTCACACACGTAATCGCACAAACACACACACACGCACCCTCTTCTCACCAATCCACTTCTTCCCACTCTGTTCCGCCCCTCTGTCAATTTCTTCTCACCAAAGGCTACTCTCTGACTCATGCCTGGCCTCTGTGCAGCCCTTACTTCCATCCTAATTGTCTGACTCCCACTGGCACTTTGCAAGGTGTCAGATTCTGCTCTCTGCTCTGAGCTCATACTTCTGCCTGCACGCCATGCCCCACATTTTACACAATTCATTCTCTCTTTTTTATTATGTTTTACCACTTTCCTCCTCATAAAATAACTATTTGTGCACTTGTTGGCGTAAGGAAATACTACAATATGGGTATGGACCTTTTTACGGCGACAAATCTCTCTGCAACTTCATATCAGTAAGCTGAAGTCAGAGTTTCAATTCCTAACTGTTTAACTACAGAATACCACAGCGCTGCATCCCGGTGAGCTATCAAAGCAACAACACAGAGTTTTGATCGCCCTGTATGCCAGAATGCATACACACCCACACCCACACACACACACACACACACACACACACACACAAAGCTAGAAGCTGCTTTTGCTTTGGCTGGATTGACACGATGCTGCATTTTAATGATGTGTTTTACCACGTTGTGACAGTTGCTTTTGCTTTTCTGTTTTGTTTTGCTGTCTTGTGGTTGCTTGTTGATCCTTTCACGAGGATGTGATTCAGCTTCGGCTCGTCCGATTTTTAAGGAGGAGGAGGAATAAAAAGTACCCTCGCCTGTAAAATTAATTGTTTTTGCGCATGCAGAATTACCCTTAGATCCTTCCAAATCAATTATGTGTCCAATGGTCATTTTTTCAGAGCAGTGTGTGTAAATTGCCTTAATCAATAAAAACAAAGATACAGTGATTGACAGGCTGCATTTAATCTCCTTAAAGTGCAGCTTGTGTTTGTCCACCAATTAGATCCTTCCAGTGGTGGAAAGTGCATTTATTCAAGTAGTGTACTTAAGTGTAAATCTGTGGTGCTTGACAATTTACTGCTACTTTTCTGCTACTTTATACTTAAATTTAATGGAGAAATGGGGCTGTATCTTATAATTAGATACAACACATTGTTAAAATATGGGCATGGCTTAGCGCAGTGGTTCCCAACCCAGGGGTCAGGACCCCCACTAGGGGTTGCCAAAGCTTCACTGGGGGTCGCAAGACCTTCTTGATTTTAAGGGGTGTAAGAAAACTTTAAAAATATAAACAGTTGGTCCATATCTCAGCCTTACATTCATTTTTGAAGTATGTATGAATAAAAATACATATTACAGACAGATAACTGTCCCCCTGCAGGTGAGTCTTGTCCGGAGAACGGCCGTAGCCCAGGCTCTGTCTCCACGCAGCACAGCTCCCCCCGCAGTGACTTCACATACGGCAACAGCACCATCACTACCCAGGCACCACACGCCGGCATGGGCAACACCAACACCGCTTCAGACAGGACATCGACCCCCAACACACAACCCAGTGATGTCATCATCAATCGAAAGGAGAGCGAAGGCTTCGGTTTCGTCATCATCAGTTCGCTCAACCGGCCCGAAGCAGCGGCCACCAACAGTGAGTCCAGTGATCGTTTTAGTGGTGGTTTATAGAGTCAAGTGGATGCTTGTGTATAATCAGTCATTCTCTACTCTGCATAACAAGTGCTAAACCTCATATGAAAGCTCTTACATACATATAAACTACCATGTAAACGCAATATAGTGTCAAGATAAGTGCCAAACTTAAGTATAAGAAGAGGTCATAGCTCAGTAAAAAGTGAAGCACCTCTCCTTCTATCTCCTCAATTATACATGCCCTCCCACAGTACGTCAGTCACACACATATCTGGTATGCTGCCGTGAGCATCAGTACATCGCCCACACACATGAAAAAAAAAAATCCTGGATGCGTTACGTAAGCCTGGGGTGAATAGCAAAATGAGAGAGACAGAGACATATTCAGTCAGTCAGCGAGTGAGTGTGGTGTGTGTGCACAGGCATAATCTTCCAATCTGCTGCTGCTGAACGTGTCTTTACCTGCAGTGTGTTGTGTTTGAATCCTCCCAACAGCTGTGCCCCATAAAATTGGCCGCATCATCGAGGGCAGCCCAGCTGACCGCTGCGGGAAGCTGAAGGTGGGAGACAGGATACTGGCAGTGAACAGCCAGTCCATCGTCAACATGCCGCACGCCGACATCGTTAAGCTGATCAAGGATGCGGGCCTCAGCGTCACCCTGAGGATCATACCACAGGAAGGTGAGAGAGCACGTGGACACACACACAACACGTGGAACGTGAGAGACAAGGATTTGAAACAGCAATACCTCGGGAAGACAATGATTTATGACAGTAATTGATTTGGCTCCATTAAATGAAAGTTGTAATATGAGTTTTGCGAAATGTGATTCTTTTTAGATTAACTGTCGCTTGTCATATTCATGAGTTTTGTTCCTCCGCTCTACATTTTCTACACTCCATAACACTTTTGCATGCAATCGCTTGAAGAGAGCTGCAATATCTCATTGTGGTTACAATAATACAGAACACACAATGACTATATTATTAAGAAAAAGGGGTGTGATTTCAGTTTTGTAGGGCTTCTTCTTGTATGTTGCAGCTGAAACAGAAGACTGGCTTAACAGTACTAAAATTGCATACATTAAAAGATGGACAAAATACACACCATATTTGTTTAATTAAATGATAATGAGGGTTGGTTTGTCTCCTTACCTTTATCTACCTTTTCTCTGTTGCATGCTTTGCCATGCAAGGACATTTTAAAGGTTCCCCATGGAGTTTTTGACTATTAGTATCACAATGGAGCTTGAGTGGTTCTCCATTTGTTGGCATTGTGCAGGCGATTTGCATCCTGCTGCAGGTTACACACTGTTCCTTTGATTGACAGTTGTTGGTTGCAAAGTTAGCAACTAGCTGGTGAATGTATTGGAGGATTTAGCATCTAGAGATCCAGATATTTCCCAAGAAGTTGGCAGTGACCAAAAATAGAGCTAAAAGAGAGTGACTATTGCCCAGAAAGAAAGAAAATGAATGTTAATGTTGCACTTTAACTGCTGGTTGTGTAAATTAGCAACTGATTGTCAACAAGTTTGCCAAATATCAACTTAAAAGGTGTTTTTAGGGCAATTTTAATGTTTTGGTTCAGTCTCACTGCTATCTTTAGTACCTTCCAGCTACAGTGAGCTGCTATTTTCAGCAAAAAAGTTACAGACAAAGTTAGCAACTAGCTGGAAAACATTGAAATATTTAGCAGCTATGAGTTGGTGGAGACTAAATTATAACTAAAAGGGCAATGAACTTTACATACAGGTGGGCAGAAACATGGCTCCAAATAACAGCTTCCTGTTTGCTGTATGTGTAAATAGGAAACTGTTGGCTAACATGTTCGCCAAATCAACTTTATATGGTCATATTATATCAGTGTTATCTTTATAGGTTGCTCGCTGCCAATTCATTCAGGTTTAAGCATGAAAAAATACTTTTACATGGTTAAATAAAGCTTAAAAGTACGTGTTGGGATTAGATTTTTCACATGCTCTGTCCTCTTTGAATCGCAGAGATCAGCAATCCCCCATCAGCCCCCAGCTCAGAGAAGCAGAGCCCCATGGCCCAGCAGCACAGCCCGAAGATCCAGCCAATCTCCGCCGCGTCACAGCCAAACCCAGCTGCGACAGAACCCAACCCTTCTGTTAGCCAGCCCAACCCCATGCCACACCAGAGCCCTGTGACCCAGCTGCCTGCCCCTCCGCCGCAGACCTACACCCACGAGAGCAGGTAAGACACGGCTTGTAAGGATTCCAGGTTACAGAGCATGACAAGTTTTTCTCAAAGTGGTGATAAACAGTTCTAATGAAAGCTGTTACAGTGTCAAATTTGCAGCTGTCTTGATATTGCGATGTAGTGAAGCATTTTTATAGACTAGCCCTGTATCTGTCTCCGGGGCAAAACAGTGTTCCTCTGAGAATACAGGTATGAGTGAGTCAGATCCTTTCATCCCCTCGTCCCAATTCTCTCCACCTTTCTCTCACTTTTTTTTATTCTCTTCTTGTTATAGTGTCTTCTTCTCTTTCTCCCACTAACATTGTCTTTTTCTCTCTTTATTCATCTCTCTCCCTCTCTCTCCCTCCCCAGTTTGTTGTATAACATCACTTAACTCTTATGGACTGCTGAATAATTCACATAAATTGCTTCTTTATAGAGATCTGTTGAATATTTTACCAAGTACTAGAGGGGTCCAAAACCTACAATGTCATTGCCTTTCCCCTCTGCTCTACACGGTATCCAAATCTCTTTGTACATCAGCAGCCTCTGAGAGAACCTGTTTTTATTATAAACATTTTATGCGATGTTGGAGAAAGAACAGTTTAATTCCTTGTTTAATGGTAGTGAGCGCGACCCCAAACAAGTCCTCACTGTCAGCACTGGGTGACCCAGCAGTTTGTCAAAAAGCATTATTGTCACAGCACGCTATGTGCACAAAAACACAACAAGTAATGACAGTAATAGAAATCTTCCCTGGAAGTTCTTCCTTCATTCTGATTGGTCTGTTAGTTACAGGTCAGAGGTGAAGGCGAGGCAGGATGTTAAACCAGACATCAGACAGCCGCCGTTCACAGATTACCGACAGCCGCCAGTGGACTACCGGCATCCTCCTGTGGCAGACTACAGGCAGCCACCCACGTTGGATTACAGACATCCGCCACTGCTGGACTACCGACAGCTAGCTACTGACGCCAGGCAGTTCACCATCCCAGAATATCGAATGCCACCGGTTCAAGTAAGGATGTTTCCCACAGCACAAAATGAATCCCTCACAGACTCTTATCTAGAGCCTGATAATGGATCTTTGAGGCTGATACCAACTTGGATAGTAGATAGTATCAATAGTAAGGAGATAAGGATTCCTTAAAGCTGTATTAATCAATATTTTTACATTAATAGCAGATTAAAAGTGTAATGAGAAACTTGTTGGGAATTATCAACCCCACTCTACATTTACTTTCAGGTATTTTAGCATCTTTTAGCTCATTGTTTTGGTTTTACGGCCCACAGTGTGTCATTTATCTCATTTCCAGCAGTAGACAGCGTTCTTTAGTCCCAGACACCAAACATATGGCAGATAAAGTAAGCGACTAGCTGTTGAACGTAGTGGAGGAAATGGGGGGCGAGAGAGAGGGGCTGCTGTGGTAAGGAGCCTTGGTACATGGGGCACACATGCTACCAGGTGAGCTACCAGCTGATTTAGCAACCTAAGAGCTACATATTTCCTTCAGGAGTTGGTTGATATCCCAGATATGTCGGTTGGTGTTTTTTGTGTTAGCACAACTGAGTAGACAAAGTTCACCGCTGCCTTGTTTGCCTTGCCAAGGCATATATGTGATACGATTATTGTTTTTGTTTTTGTTTACTTTGCATTTGCTCCATTCTTTTTCACTTATTTATCTTTGCTTAGTCCTGAGACTATTTTCTGCTGTAGTGGTCCATTTTCTCCTCAGATAGCACTGAATCTAATCACATCTGATCTGTGCTTGTCTCAGCTTGCGCAGGACTTTGACTTCTTCACAGTGGAGCTGGAGAAAAGCGTGAAAGGCTTCGGTTTTAGCATCCGTGGAGGACGGGAGTACAAGATGGACCTGTTTGTCCTACGACTGGCTGAGGACGGGCCGGCCATCCGCAACGGGAGGATGAGGGTAGGTTTGATGATGTCATTTCATTTAAGAAAGCCACCGCACCCCCTTTAGAGGTTAAACTGCTTTCTATCTTTCTGGATTACATGGCGGACGCTTACTGTAATTGTCTGATGTTATCAAAGCTGCAACAGCAACTTTTCAGAGCTGGTTCAGAAATAATCTGTCAAAAATAACTCAGAGATGGTTTGTCCTTTTGTAGCTGAGAGTTTGTTTCCTCCCAACTTCCTAAAACTCATCCCTTATCTGCATTCAGCAACAGATAATATTCAGAAAGATAAAGATAGATAAAACATTTAAGTGGGCCAACTAAAACTGCACTTTAATGTTTGCATAGCTACACAATTCTCCCTCTAGCTACAGTTGCTACTGTACTATTCGGTCAGAGAAAGCTGGCACATATTTTCTGAATTTATAAAGATGTAATAAAAGATACTATGGAAATTTCCAACTCCAGCATTGCTGTGTAAATCCCCCCTTGTTTTCTCCATGTGGTTTGCTGCTAGCAACATAAATTGCAACTTCCACAGTAGCTTTTCTCAGTTTGTCAATGCGGGATGAATCTTGCAACCAACACGTCTTCCTTGATCTCCTGCTTTCTCTTTCTTGCACGTTCTTCCGATCTGTATGTCTGAAGGTGATGGCCTAAGTCTGCTCTACATTCCTTTTCTGTAATGAACCTTTCAAAGATAATTTGTGCAAAATGCCCCCGGGGGAGGTATTACTTTCCCTCGTCATTGGTGTAGTTGATGGAGGCAACTGGGCCTAGACACAGGTGGCTGCCTGTGGAAGAAAAGTAAAAGTACCAATGCAGTAATCTAAAAATACTCCATTACAAGTATATCTTAAAGTGCAAAGTTAGTATTAAGTAATAAAAGCAGAAGTACTTGTCCCGGTGGCTGATAAATTGTTTTAATTTTATATATCTTATATGCATTGATGCATCAGTGTGTATTATATGGGTGTAGCTCGTCGAGGCGGAGCTTGTTTTAACTACTTTATATACTGTATTTATTGACTGATGGGTATTTTTAGTCCAGTGGTTCCCAACATAGGAGCCAGGCGTCTCCAAAGGGTCACAACACTGTTGAGGGGACAAGGATTAATGAGGGTTGGAAAGACAAAAAAACTAAGATTTGCTACACAAATGTGTGATAGTTTTTTAGACTTTTCTGTAATGTTTGTTGTTTAGGAGGGAAATGCTGCATAATTTAACGTCTTTGGCATAGAACTGCAACAATTAGTCGAGTAATGGATTAGTTGATAGTCGATTATCATGCTAAAATGGCAGAAAATGCAGTTTTCAGCCTCTCAAATATGGAGATGTCCTACTTTTCTCTGTGTTATATAACATTAAACTGAATATCTTTGGGTTTTGGACTGTCATAACAAGACATTGAAAGACTGGGATGGATATTTTTCAAAGTGTATTCAACCTAATTCTCATTGCAATCATAAAACATTGTCAAACTAACAATGGATAGCTTTGGGTTTTTTCAAAATCTTTTTTACTCCACATATTCTCCCTTGTCAAACCTGTATTACCCACAGTGTAACTTGATTGCTGACATTCAGGTGTATTATGCTAGTAGCAGATCCCGCCTCGAGTTTCTAGATTCAAGCAGAGATGAGAGTACAGAGTTTTAACAACGTGATCGATTGGGTGAGTTTATCGTATATTTTTTGTAAAATCCAAAAGTAGCTGGTGACTACAGCTGTCAAATAAATTTAATGGAAAAAATATTTCCCTCTGAAATGTAGTGAAGTGGATATAAATGTACCTAGTTGCTTTCCTCCACTGAGTCTGATTAGTCCTAGATGAACGGCCAGACAGTAACACTGCTGGTAGCATATTGAAATTAACCAGAGACTGTGCTGTTGAATAGATTTCAGAGAACAAGGTGCAGAGAACACTTTGATCCCTCTTTCAACAGTCCTCGATCCATACTGCCGGGCGCGGAGAGGAATCAATCTGCATTTAACTTAAGTAAATGTGAGACTCTGGTTAAAAAGCTTTTGACATGCCTGTCACTTTGTATTTGAGTGGTGCTTTGACACGTTTTTTTAAGGTGCAGAAACCAAAAGCCCTCTTTCACCGTGACTCCCTGCAGTCTCTCTGAAGTTCTGAGTTCAAGCCAAGTCACTCCTCCTTAACAGGCACTTTATCACATCTTTAAAAGTAAAGTAAAAAAATAAAGTATTTTGAACCTGGTAGCCACAAACTAATCAGTAAGGAGCACTAACATATTCTAACATGGTTTTTTACATCTTCAAGTGACAGTGCAGAGGCTTTTAAGGAAATTGTATAAATTGGTTATTACAGATAATCATTCGGCACATTAAATGACCTCTCTAGGCTTTAAACCATCACTAAAAGACTTGAGAACAAGAGTTGTGTGTGTGCAGCGGACTGCAATAGAAGCAACTCCTACTTCAGTCCCACCTCCCTGCACTCAACATTCACGCGCTGTCCATTCAACTTTAGCTCCCTCTTTATTAAAGATGAAAATGGAGATCACTCTCCTCTGCTGTTAGGAGGTGAGGATTAATGAGCGAACCGTCTTGCCTTCCACCCCTCTTCAGACCACTGTAATGACACCTAATGACTCCCCCCTCTCTTGACTCAAGTCTGCTCCTGACTTTCAAATTACCCTAGCCATTACCGGAGGACTTCTCCATTTGTTCGTGTAATTGGGCAGCATGTTTTGTCCCGTTCCCCGTGAATCCTCCCCATTACTCAGAGCCTCAGCCGTCTCTTGAAGAGCTGAGAGTCTTGAAGGAGGGAGGACTGACGTTTGACCCTTCCTCGTGTACATCAGGGAGTGGTCACAGGAAGGTGAGATAGTCCAGTTAATACTTACATTAGCTGTTAACTGAGCTGCTGCAGTTGTGGTCATTATAAATGAGCAGGTTCTTGGTATTCATCAGGGTGTCCTAATATGATCCTCAGCAGCCCCATGAGAAGGGGGTCCACCATAATTCCATCCAAATGACATAGTCGAGATTACTGCCGAAATTAATTACACCAGTTCATGGCGGGTAATGCCTATTAACGCTTACAGAAGCTCAAGGGATAGCCTATGAATTATAGATCCATATTGATCCTCATAAATCACTGTTGTCCAGAATAAAAGAAGCTTGTTAATATTCAATTTCACATGTAGGGTGCTCATTTGCAAACCTGCCACATCATAATTGACTCAATCTTAGGTGGGCAAACGAACTCTGTTCATTTGCTAATCTCTATGAATAATCTTATTTTTGCCTTTTGTGAACTCGACTGGTAGGTTTATGGAGCAATATGGCACCTAATATTACTTTTCTATCAATCATTTCACAGTTGACACCTCAAACATGTCAGTCTTTAATTTAAGGTTTAATACAAGTTTATTATTCAAATTGTAAATTGCATGGAATATCTGAATCTTCAGTATGCTCCAGATGTGAAATGGTGCAGGGCACATTCAGGTTGGTTTGACCCCTGGTTCACAGTAACTGATTAAAGACATTTAATGGTACTCTAAAGTCTATAAACGCAGCTTGAGTCCTCATCCACTGCTTGCTAAAGTTTCCGACAAGACTTTCTTCCTGCGAGACGATGTTATCCGAAATGGTTTCTACCATACAAATGGAAAGATTCTGTTTCTGGAGTCGATACTCTTCTGTTGATTTTTTTAGGGAGATTTATAAATAATGTTCAACTTACTTGGTTACCTTGAGTCAAATAAAGTCAGGTAAGTTGGATATTACATCCATTGAAAGCATTGCTTCCTTTAGATATAAAGAGATTGTAAGCAGAACCTAAGGTGGAAGGCAGGAAATATATTATACTATATAAACCATTTAATAAACTGTTTATAACACATTATAATGCAGCTGTATTAGCAGCTATAAGAATATTAGAGACTGTTAATTCATGTACAGTATTTGTCAACAATTATAACTTCTCCTATTACTGTGTTATTTACCATGTTGTCATTCGTTATCTGTTCACAGGAGGAGCTAAAGTTGTTGACAGATTCATGATTAAACAGTAACAGTTTATTAAATGTTCATATACTACTTTTGAATAAGTGGGTTTGGGAGGTTAAAGTAAAATGTTGAAAATAAAAAAGTAAATATATTGAAGTGGATTACACGCATACAGAATACAACTTTATTATTCACCAGAGTGGAAAATTGTCTTTGGCCCATCTGGCAGTTTAATAAAACATACAAACACAGCACATAACAACGCTGACAGTATGATGATGGACCGGAGGGGAAAACAATGAGCGGAACTAAAGTTGAATGAATATGATTCATCTGGGGACAATAAAACAAACAAATGTGCACGAATACTGGGAAGGTGATCTTGTCACCTGAATATTTTTCATTTATTTTAATAAAACAGCTTGTTTTATTAGTTGTTTTCCCAACATTCATAGTGAGTGATAAAAATGGGATGGGTTTCTGCCGGGGTGTCGAGGGGCATGGCCGATTCTGGAGATGGGGAATGAAAGAAAAAAGGCTTTAAGTTTGAGAACCACAGCTCTAAGTAATAATATGTAATACACAAGATTAAAGAAAAGACTTAAATCTAGGTGTGCAGCAGGGTTGCCGCACCTTTCGAAGTTGAGCTCACTCACTCATAATCTTCCAATCTGCTGCTACAACAGCCTACACTCCTCTAGGAAGGTTTTCCACAACACCTTTGAATGGGGATTTGCTCTGTTACCCAATAAGAGCGTTATTGAGGTCGAGCAACGTTCCAGTTCATCCCAGAGGTTGTCGGATGAAGTTGGGGTCGGAGCTCTGTGCGAGTTCTTCCACACAGAGCTCTGTAAATTCTTTTGTGCACAGGGGCATTACCATGATGAAAACAGGAAAGGGCCCTTCCTAAACTGTTACCCCAAAGCCAGAAGCACAGTGCTGTCTAAAATATCGCTCTATGGTGTAGCATTAGATTCTCTTTACTTGGAACAAAGGGGGCTGAATCCAAACCATCAAAAAACACCACTGACCTAAAGTAAAACCAAGTATGCGCACACACACGCACACTTTCTCTTACAGCTTCTTTTACTCTCCTTCACACACATCTTGACATCCAGGTTGGGGACCAAATCATTGAGATCAATGGAGAGAGCACCCGGGACATGACTCATGCCAGAGCCATCGAGCTGATCAAGTCTGGAGGCAGGCGTGTTCGTCTCCTCTTAAAGAGGGGTACAGGGCAGGTCCCAGAGTATGGTAAGTAGCGAAACTTTAATCCGAAGCTTTCCTTGTCTTCAGGATAATTTATTAACTCTCATTTAACTCTTAGACTGTTCTCTCCACTGTCTTAATATCACTTCAACTCTTGATAACACTGTTCTAGCATGCATCTATATTCATGTTATATCTTCTGTCTTTTTTATACTTCTGGTCTTCGCTGTATTCTGTATTTCACTATGCTGTAAAACAACTAATTATTTGTCTCTTCTATCTTGACTAACACTAGTTTATCTTCTGTCCATTTCAGTGACCTATCACTAATTGATTGGTCTAGGTTGTTACTTCCCCTTCTATAGGAATGGTATCTTCCAGTCTCTCCATGTGCATGAAAAGTGACAAGCATGGCTCCCCCTATTTCTTCCTAATGGGCCACTCTAAAGACACGGTTTGTGACCATACGAATGTTTTTCTCTTCACTTAACCCTGGCTTTCTGTGCTGTGGTTTTGTGTGTTGTTTTGTTGTTTAACCACCTGTTCAAGATGTGCACTTTTCAAAATCGGCACGCTGGAGATTTTGCCAATAATCAACAAATATCCCTTCAAGCGGCGAGGAGGTTGTAAAATTAGTCAACATAACTTTCCTCCTGACCGAAAGATAAATTGGCAGCCAACAGCTACCTACGGGGTCCAAAAATATAGCAGTGTGAGTGTTCACCCTGAGTCAGCCAGAGGAGACAAACGTGAAATATTCCGGCAGATTATTTACCCAGTGAAATCTCGGCGCAGCATGAATCCAGCCTGGAAGGGGGACATTTATTCTTGTGACACCGCAGGTAATAAAACTCCAATGCGTCACTCACTGCTGTTTCTTCTGCACCAGCAGTGATGCTCACTTTTTCGCATCCTCCCACTTACAGAGAAAGCCGTTTTTAAGGGAAAACCGTTGCACTAAAGCTCCGCCGCCCCCCAGTAATGCACATTCATCAGCGTTTGGCCTTGGCGTAACCCTCCAACTCTTAAACACAGGAAATCGAGGGTGATGTTGTTTTCCCATGTCTGCCAGCTCCCCCTTTCCAGCCAGTGATTTAATCTATCTGTGTGGAGGGCTTTCGTCATACTCGCCTTGAGGTTGTTTTAAAGCCTTGAAATATGCACACAGGGAGTCTTACTGTGGTCAACAGAAGACGCAGTCCTTTATCATTAGAGATCTTTTGTGTTCTCTCTCTCTCTCGAGTTCCCCCGCTGCCTAAAAGCAGAAGCAGCGTTTTAACCCACATGTTCTGTTCTGTGTGGGCTTGATTCAGCATTTCATCACTCGTAGTTTACAGGCAATTTATTTGCATACTGGAAGGTTATGCAAATCATCTATGGTGATTAATTTGGCTATTTAAAACATTTGCATACTGATGTTCAAAGGAGGTATTTCTGTTTCAGGTTATTTTTAGGAAAAGCTGAACCCAAAATGAAAAACCAAAAGAAATTTAAGAATATAAGCAGTGTAATGTTGGCATATGGTTGTGGGCATGTGCATGAATATTATTGTGTGGCTGTCTGTGTATAGCATTGTGTGTGTTTGTGTGCCTCTATCTAGCGTTAGATCTGCACCCCCAGGGCACGTATTTAACAAAGTCCTGAAAATTGCACTTTTTAATTAAGAATGCTCTGAAAACCGACACAGGAATAGAAGTTCCTAGCTACTTATATCAAAGTGACACTACAGCAAACTAAAGAATGACATCCCATAATTAATCACAAGTATTCTCAGAGAGGATTTAACCTGTGTCAGACTCATTCTTCATTTAAAAATAAAAATTCTCATATTTCCTCTGTGATGTGTTATTCAGTAAAAGATTTCTAGTTAATTCATGAAATGTTGAATCTCTCCAGTGGCAATTAAAATAGTACTCTTTCATTTAAGTGCGATTCCATAAAGGGTGGATGTGTCTACAAGAGACTGAAAAGAGATTAAATAAAGAATGGTCAAAATCAATACATCAGAGGCCAAGATATCATAACCTTTAGTCCTGATTTCTTTAGTCCTTTTGATCCCTATGGGTCAATCAACAGAAACACTAGATCTTCCTATAATGTAACTTTCATCTTTTGTTACACCCCCCATCCCAGGTAAACACCCACTCCAACTCCCCAGTATGTAAGACAAACTTTTTCTTAAAATTTGTACAGAAACTGAAATCACACAAGTACTGTCCCTTGTCTAAACTTGACTAGTAAACTGACTTGTAAAATCACCGGAGTGCCCCTTTAACATGTAATTTACAGCAAGTAGACACCTCCAGAGTTCTCTTATATTAAAAGTGTTTTAAGTATTTTAAAGTGGCAGTATGTTTTTATAACAACAATGGTTATATTTTTTTTTAAAAAGTCAGACATAGCAACAGCTACAGTCAACCAAAAAAGTAAATATTAGATTCACATTCATCAGGTAGACACACACATCACATCAAACACACATTTCTACACACACACTACGCACTTAATGTCACTTGTCTAACTAAGTTTGTTGTACCTGGCATACTGCAGGTAGAAGACTGTGAAATCCCAGCATGCTTAGAAATGACCAGGTACTCTCTCTCCCTCTTAGTCCTGGATCTAATGCGCTCCAGCGCTGCGTGAGAGTCTGCTCATAATTGGGCCTCATGGTGCTGGTGTAGCTAGCCTAGCCTCTGCCCCCTGCCTAGGCCCCGCTGAAAATGACTGATGGCCGAGGGACCGAGACTCATCGGTGCAGAAACAGGAGCTAACAGTCCGTGAGAGTGGAGAGTTGTGGAGGAGCACGCTGTAGATTCACTGCAGCTGCTACACTGGATGCAGACTTCTTTAGGCTTAAGAGAGAGAGAGAGAGAGAGAGAGAGGCATTCGGCCCCTGAGGTTTTCATTCTTGCTAAAGCACCACCCTATTGGGCACATCATCCATTTCATTAAACCTGTTTTCGATTTTCCGCCAAGGTTTTAGATTGGCCGGGGCTTTAAAGAGAGCTATGGGAGGCAGATTGATGTGGTCTAAAAGTAGAGTTGCCCTGTGACACGTTCGGAAGTAGGTTGTAGTGCTGCTCTGATATTTACTTTAATGCTTTTAGCTTGTAGAATAGGAATGATTGCTGTGTTGATTGTTTTTTTTTCGTTTTGATTTAACGTGTGGTTGTGCAGTGGCATGTGTGCAAGCCTTTAATAAGAGTGTGCGCGTTTTCCACGTTGTTGACTGCGTGTATGTGTATGTTCCAGATAATGCCGCCCCATGGGATGCTCGCCCTTCAGCCTCCCCAAGCTTGTCGGAAGTAGCCCCTCCCATCGACAGCCTTTCCATGTCATCGCCTTCATCTCATCTGGCCCCGGCCCCCGACCCACCTCACCTGCCGCCTCTGGACGTCCCTCGAGACACGGTGGCAGGAGACAGCAGGAAGGAGCGTTCAAAGAGTCCCCAGAAGGCCGAGCTGCTAAATACAGATCCGATCAGCCAGGGGAGGAGAGCGGCTACAACCAGTGGGAGCGGAAAAGCTAAAAAGGAGGGTGGCAGGTCCACCCACAAGGGGCACAGGGTGCAGCCCACTACTGAGGGGGAAGGAGGCAAGGAGGGGCAGAGCGGGGAGCCCAAACCTTCCAGGAGCACCAGAGGGAGGTCCAAGGAGAGACATACCGGGGACAACAGAGAGACCACCCAATCTCCCAGCGCCTCCAAGCTCCCGCACACTAACGGGAACAGCAGGGAGGATGTGGAGCGTTACAGTGGCGGGCAGCAGCAGGTGGATTCAGAGCAGAGCAACCCCAGACCCAGGGAACTGGACAGGGGCCTGGGAGAGAGCCGGCCCAGCCTGCCCAACAAGAGCACCAGCAGCAGCGGCAGCGCAGCAGGGAGGAAGGCCACGGTCTCTCCTGGGCCTTGGAAGATCCCTGGATCAGACAAGTTGCCCAGCACACTGCGCACAGGCACGTCCACGCTGAGCAGATAACACCGCGGCTCCAGCAGAATACAGTGGCCACACTCATCTGAACTAAAACCACCCCATCTGGATGAAACTACCATCCCCACACCTTCCTGTGCTCCTTTATCCCCCCTCAATCCCATTCTCCCATAGACCATGGAGTCAAACCCAAGAGGGGGGGGGGCAGGGTGATCTGGACCACGTGTTTTTAGAGTTTTATTTATGATACTGTACTCTAAATTATTTTGAGAAATATTTTACACCCACCACCTTAAGAACTGGAAAATCATCCACTTTAAAAAAAAATTTAAAAAAAGGAAGAGCAAGTAGAATGTGTGTGTAGCGTGGCGGGGAATCCTTCGAGGGGTACAAACTTTGAAGAACTCAATTTTGAGTTCTCCCCAAAAACTGGGGGACAAACATGCAAATATAAACAACTGACAGGAAGCAACTGTCGGTTGCCATTGGAATTTTTATATATATATATATAAATATATATATATCTTCACAATGGAGTCTGTTTTATGAACTGGAATGTTAAAAAAGAAGGTTTGCCTGTTTTTGACAAGAGCGAATGGAACAAAGAGTGACAGCGGAGATGAAATCTACTCATCAACAGAACTTTGCCTTAACAGAGACTGTATGGGGCCTGAATCTGTCTTGAATAATCTATCAGATGATTATAGACATAGATATATTATAATTGAATATGAATATGTGGGATCATTTTGTAAATAAGATCATCTTTTAATGAACAGAACCTTAGTTGAGCCGATGGAAAATTCTAGCCCGCGCAAACATGGATAAGAAACATTCACCACATCGACTTCTCCCTCTTCTACCCTCCCGTTCAGCCCTGTGACTGCGGTTTGGGGTCTCGGCGCGGCCTGCTGCGGTCGACTGCACGCTTGAATCATCCCAAGTTCAGCGGGGTCGGGGTCGGGGTGGGGGTTGGTGGCGGGGGGTGTCGTATCTATCCATTTTTTCCCATTTCTTGTGCTTAACGAACAAAGCAATCCACGACGGTGGTGTCCAGCCGGATGCTGAGAAGAAGAGGCTCGCGTGATACCGACCGAGGGGCAGAGTGCCTTAGACTGACAGAGAGGTTGGCTTTTAAGTCAAAGGTTCAACTCCAAAACACTTAAGAGGGTTCAAAACAGGCTGCTATACAACACCAACTTTACAGATATAAATAATAAACAGTATTTTTTCAGATACGAGTGTGATATGGTGAAATACATAATTTATTTCACGAGCTTATGTATGAAAATTAGTCCATTAGCAAGAGGTATTGACGGTCCTTATTTGTGCAAGTGGTTCTTTCTGGGTCATGGTAGTTTTCATTACTGATTTCTTAATGAGGTCTGACACTAGTAATTTCCATGAAGAATGATATAATCAGATGTCAGCGCGGAGCAGAGCGTCGCACCCAAACCAAAACTAAACCAGTGAAAAATCTGATATTGAATCAATCTCGCATGTCGAAAGCTCGCCCGCCTAACAACGTGTAACCTGAATGAATGAACGCCCTCAATTTGAAAATGAAACACTTCTATCATTTCCAGGTCGACTGAGGAGACGGTTTGCACCTGTCGCAGCCACTATCAGCTGCTGAGTTTGATTTGTTTCAGGTGATTCTGTCTACACTGTGTGATATTAAGCAGTACATCTCCAAGCCAAAGCTCCCCGTAGATTTCCATTTGTCTGAGCATACACATTACCTGCCCCAGAATTTGACTCAATTTGAAGGTTACGTGTTACACCATAAATGTCCAGGTGTACATTTTATACAACTTGACATCTCCCTAAGCTCTGCCCCCCCTTAGTTACTGTTGCTATGCTTGTCAATCTCTCCACTCTGGTTGGGTTTACAGTGATAGCGATGGCAGATTTTACAACTCCAAGTTCTTGATCATTTTTGACACAATGGGTCCTTTGTTTGAGACAGAAGTAAACAAAAAGCTGCTTCTCATTTCTAGCTGCCGGCTGACATTGACAACTCTCACTGGCAGATTTGATCTGCTCTAACTAGTTAGCTAATTAGGCTAATTCTAGCTCCATGAGCCGGCTCCAGACTGTCTCTGGCTGACTCGTTTAAAACAAGCATCCTGGCTTCTCGCTTTATTTGGATAGTCCATCTACAGATGGTTTATAGAGTACATTTCAACAGCTTATTGCTTAGGTAGGTAGGTAGGTAGATAGATAGATAGATAGATAGATAGATAGATAGATAGATAGATAGATAGATAGATAGATAGATAGATAGATAGATAGATAGATAGATAGAAAGATAGATTTATTTATCCTGAGGGAAATTCAAGACAACCGTTCCACCTGGTTAAATCTTTACTGAGGAGCTGGAAGCGTCAGCGTGTCCAAACAGAAAGTGAAGATTTTCCACACGCTTTGATCCATGCAATATATAAAAGCTTTTATGTGCTCCGATGAAGGTCAGATAGACTGAAAGCTTTCTGAATAAAGGGATGTATTGCATGGATGTAAGCAGATATCTTCACTTTTTCACTACACCTTTCACTGGTTAAGATTCAACAATTCAACCGTTTCCTGATATTGCACAGCTGTGGTTAAGGTTTGGTTAGGTTTAGGCACAAAAAACATTTTGGTTAGGGTATGTTCCTGCGTTACACTCCAAAGATAATCTGTTAAAGATCTACAGACAAAGCAAAACCGTTACAAATACTCTATAAACTATCTGTAGGCGGGCTGTACAAATAAACTGTTACTGAATCTTACAAAAAGGGGTTTTAAATATGCATTTGGTGGCTACATACGTGACATTATGCTAAAGGACTGAGGCTAAAGCTGCATGTTCCAGGCACAAAGTTGGAAGTAAAGAAACAGCATTTCTCTTATACTGCAGGGTAGAGTTAGTCCTAGCTTTTTAAGTATGATAATAAAAACTGTAAGATCAGACTGTTATTCATTCTAACTTAACACCGTGTGGCTGTACAGCTTATGTATGTGTTTGTATTCCTCAAGCAGTGTGTTTTTACTGTTAGGGTCGCAAGAGAAAACTCTTTTAGGATGACCACAACACTATCTCGGGTCACTGGTTGGAGTGTGAACTTCAAATCCAACAAAGAGCAGGATAGAACTGTAACATTAGCTAGCTAGTAAACTAGTTAGTCAGACATTATAACGATTGCAGCTCACATTAGAGCAGATAATCACACTGTTGAATCCATTCCTTACACTTTTGTCTCTGTGGATTTTGGTTTTGGAAAGGCAAAAAAAAAATCTCTTAATTAAACTCTTTAACTGCTGACTAATGCTCGTACGGCTGCCCCCACGCACACTGCTTCAACATGTGAAGAAATCCAAAGTTTGACAGGCCTGCAGTGCCTAGTTACGGTTGCTAAGCTGTGATTGAACGCTCGCTGTTCAGGGGCGGGGTTTACGCCAAAAAAAAGGTCAATTTTGAGGTCAGAAAATCTTTTCAAAGCGTCTGCAGAAAGTGGTACATTTTCCTCTGAATGAGCGACAAGTGGTAATACCAGAACAAAAAGGTTTCCTCTCCTTCCTCTGCTGAGGGAAGTGCAAACAGTGTTTAAAGAATAAAAGAGCAAAGGGACACAAGTCATTATGTTTGCCATTGTGATCCGTAATTACACAAGGAATAAGCAGCCTGACTTTAAAGCACAATCTCACACAGAGGAGTTTGGGATGTGAATTATTATGTCGGTGAAAATTATCAGCCAGGCTCAACCATTCAGTCACTTGTAGATGGAGCCCAGGGACAATATTACGAAAAACTAAGCCCCAAATCTAAATTTCACATTTTGTCAGACTATAGGTAGCAAATGCTGCCTACATACTGTACCGTCAATGCTCATTTGCTCCTTTTTATTTTGTGACTTTTGTTTGAAGCAGCAACAAAAAAAAAAAGTGTGTATTTTTGCTCAACCTTTGCACAACTCACTGCTTTCCACATCTGAGCTGTCTCAATTGAGCCAAAATGTAGGTAGTTTTTCTACAGAAAGCAAAAAAAAAAAGACATCTAGAGGGTTTTTTTTTTTTGGCGTGTGTTGAAATAACGGCACGCGCTGCACCATGGACTCCCACCCAAGCGGCTCAGTATCACTGTGTAGTGTTAGCGGTGTGTAGACCCTGAACAAATATCTCTATAAATATGACTCAGTGTACTATTGATGGTCACAAAGACTGTAAGTGAAGCAACTATTTTTATGAAATGCAACACTATGGATATATTAACTTTTGCAAAAATCTTGTTTACCTGTATGATATTCTGAAACGCTGTCAAAATAAAAGAGAATCTTGCCACATGACAGATTTATTTAGGACATGCTGCTGTGTGATTTATTATGGGTGTTTTTTTTATATTAGTTCATATAAAAGATGTGCATGTGTAACACTTTACTTTAACCCCTTATGTTCATGGGTTAAGCAGTATATACTCGCTTATAACACACTATCATCACACATGGTTGTAAACAGATATAAGGTAATTCTAAGTGTTTTATTAATGTATTTGTGATTGATACCACAGATATTATTTGCTTTCTTGATACCACTGGTATCACTCTAATGTATGTACAATAAATATGTAGCCTGTTAGCTTAGCTTAGGAAATGGGGGCAATAGCTGATGTCTGTAAAACCACAAATAGTCATTTTTACACTTTGGTTTTTGAACATGTTAAACAAACAAGACCAGTTACAGAAGAAGTTGTAGTTGTTGACAAACACTTAAAATATGCCCCTTATGTACAGTTACCATATAGAGAACAACCCGTTTATTAATTATATACTGCTTGTAAATGTTAAATAGGCAGGGGTTAAAATAAGGTGTTACTAGTGTTACAAAAAGCGTCATGAAGTTATTTTTAAAAAACCTCTTCAGAGCTTCTTTCTTAAAATGTTTATAGTGTTGTAATGTCCCCATTTGGCCACGTGGAGGCAGAGAATAGAAAATCCCATGCTTTAATGTCCTGTGTGCACATTCTCCATGTCTCCACCAGAGGTCAGTATAGACCAGGCTTGTATTTTTATGCTGCTTTGTTTCATAATTGTTGAACTTACATAAAGTTATTAGTGAGACATTTCCTCTTTTTATCATCCAGTGCGATGTTATGATTTCATAAACTGGAGAATATTGTGTATTTTAATGCATGTGCACTATATGATCATACATGGGTGTATAGACTTCCTCCACTTGATATTGTGGTTTTCACCGGTACATCCTGTTGCAATACTCAAGAAAATCATGTGAAATACAGATGACAGTTAGTGTTATGGTTAATTTAAGATGGGATTTTAGATTTAAACAAACCTTAAATTAATTTAATGTATCCTAGGTCTGTCTCTTATCTCCCTTATATCTTCTTGTGAACAAAATGACAGTTTATTTGACCATATATCTAGCATTAGGGAGGTGTCTACATGCTGCCTGTATACAGGGATCTATGCAACAAACAGGCAGGAAAGAGACACAAAAGAAAAACACAGGGCGAGAGATGAAGCACTGCAGAAGCGAGGCGACGAGCTCTCCTGCAGAGGCAGCGCTGGTCGGGGCTGCCTGCTGCCAGCTGGAAGCTGCTGGCTGGTGCCTGTATTCTCCACAGGGGTGAATCAATCCAGAGCTGTGCTCATCTATCCACCGGGAGAACGACGAGCCTGGTGCAGGCCTCAACAGACTGCTCTGCTCTTCCTGAAGACACACCAAGGACAAGGAGTACAGAAGATAGAACCACCTTCTGCATGTTTATCAGATAGCACTCAAAGGCAATAACTAATATTTTATACACTTCTGGGATCAAATCAGTAGTAATATTCTGCAGACAAAGTGTTCTACAGCAAGTTTGATGAGGTGAAACTCATCCAAGCTGCACAAATGACTGTTTGCCAGCATGGCCCACATCCCTGGATCTCAGTTGCGTCTGACAGCACCACAAACTGTCCTAATGTGTCTCCCAAAGAACAAACACACACACACACACACACACACACACACACAGTAATGTTACTGACAGTAGCCATGACTCAGATTTTCACAGCAGTGTTTGATGGATTGCTTTACCTCCTCCGCCAAAATGTCTCTTGTGTTCTCCCCTCACTGCAATTGCTTCATCATCAACGCCAAACATATTGCCATTAAAATTACTGCAGTGCGGAGATAACTCAAAGTATACAATGCTTCAAGAGGATCTTTAACAGCATCTCCAGTGAATGTCTGGTCCCCTCATTTTCTGAGAGTTGCAGGGAAAATAATCAACTTATTTGGGAGCAACAGAGACTCTAGAAGGCCCTGAGCATGCATTGTTCCATGCTTGGTAATCTATTCCAACTTAAATAATGCATAAAGTGTTAAAGCCATGCCTTTTTAATGTCAAACATATCTGAAATCTGCAAGCAATTTAAACATGTTGGACGCATCTGAGGACAACAAGGATTACCTGCAGAGGAGGCAAAGGGTTGCCCTGTTCCCGTGTGCCACTTTGAGGTTTGTGGGTCAAAGCCAGCTCTTTATGCCTTCTTTCTGACACACTGTGTTTAAAGTGGCATCGCCTTCAAATGGTTGGGAAGAAAGCCAACAGGCACGCGCACAAGCACACATGTAAATGACGTATTAAACATGATCTGGAACTGTCTGCCAAACCTGCTCGACCATGCACTGAGTGGCATTCTGTCTTCATACTCAGCTGAACAGAGATTTATTTTGTTGATTATATTATAGTTATTGCTCAGCTCGAGCGCAAAGCAAAGTCTGTGCCCTTCAGCTAAGTGCAGTGAAACAAACTGTGAGTCATAATCAAAGCTGTAAGATGTGGAATAAAGGCACCAACTGGAGTTTTAAGTGTCCTCCAGGTAACAGGCGGTATTTGATGCCTGGTACTTGATAACTTTAATTATACATCAGTGTTCTGCAACCAGGGAGGCAAATGATCTGCCTTGCATGTTTTTTTTTTTTTTTTTATGTGGGTGTCAATAGAAAAAAAGGGTCCTGTTCCAATGTGATGCTTAAGCTGCAGAATGAAAAATGGGTTCAGTTTAAGAGCGATCAATGGATCATTTTATGTTAGGACATAAGTCGTGTACTGTTTCAGGTCATTCAGAGACACTTAAAGTTTATCGCATCCTTGAGTGAATGTGGATAATGTTCAGATTTAGGGGTGAGCAAGTTGATTTGATATCATGCCTTTCTAGAAATAAATGGTCAATAAATTGAGTTTTTCAGGCTATATTTTAAAAAATGATTATTACAGGCTGCATTTTTTTTCTTGGATCCCAGTATACACCACAAGTATACAATGAAACCCCTCTGATACAAGAAAAAACACATATATATTTGTGTTTGACATATGCCGAACTTAATATTTTGATAATTCAGAAAAAAAAATCCTACTTCCCACTTGTCAAAGAACAAGGATCAAGCAAGCCACGTTAACTTCCCAGATTTTTGAATGAAATTTGACGTGACTCTCGTTCTGCATACCACAGAGCGGCGTGTACCGGCGGGACTAGGGGAGGGCCCACGGGCGGGGTAACGCGCCCTGCCCACTCAGTATCTCGTATTTGTGTAGCAGTCTGTCTAGCCGCAGTAGTCCGCAGACAGGCAGGCAGTCAGTCAGTCGGCGGGGCCGAACCGGGCTTTTTTGACGGTGGAAGTAGCCCAGCAGCCAGAGCCCAGGGGCGGCCGGTGGGAGGAGGCAGAGAGTCCGCAGCTGCCGCACCGCACAGCCTCTTTGATAACCGCAAGAAGAAGGAGTCTCCCGCGTTAACCGATGTCAACGGTATGCAGCATTTTAATGTATTCGTATCCTAAAACGTGGGGGGCGGGGGGGGGTTTGTTTATCAGGATTTTTAAAATATGGATCTAGGGAGGCAGCGATCTGTCGTGGCACGCCGCTGCCGCAGCATCTTTCACTGGTTTTGTCGGCTGTGTGGTTGGAGCAGCGGGAGTCAGCATCAACACACCGGGGCTGAAACCGGTGAAAATGTCTCCGAGCTTACCCAGGTGGTTAAAAAAAATAATTTAATAATTAATAGGTTAGTGCTGTTTTTTTTTTTTTTTTTTTTTGTTTTTTTTTAATACCAGTCGTTTGTGTTCAGTCCAAAACATGGAACCTTGTGTGAGGAGGGAGAGCGCAGTTAGCTCGAAGTTGTGGCCGCGTTCGAGAGCAGGTCGGCGGGCAGCCGGGCAGCTCGAGCCGCAGTCAGCGTGGAGCAGCAGCTGACGCGAGTTAGCAGTCGTTAGCGCTAACGAGACGGGAAGTTGAGGACAGAGACCTTCAAAATAAGAAGCTAAATAGTTTTCAATGTGTGTAATATTTATGAAGCACCTGATTTTTATTTTATTTTTTTAATGAATAGATGTGTTAAATCATCTTACGGCGAGTAATGTGTGAAGAAAACTATATTTAAGGATAATAAAATAGGCACACATGTGACCTTTTTTTGTTTTGTAAGTGGTTTCACATCATGGGCGTAATAAGTTTTCAATACTATGTGATTATAAAATATTAATTTTACCCTAAAGTACCAGTTTACTTCAAAAAGCCCATACAACAATGCAAATTCATCATTTTGTTTAGGATTTCTGCACAAAGTGTAATCACATGGGACCTGTTTCACAAGTAGACCTGTTTTTAAATTTGACCTGCAGCCTAATTGTCCGCACCCACACTTGCCTCACAAACCTTTACTGAAAAGCGCCTTGAAGGCATTGCTGAATGCACTTTTGTTTGCTTTGTTTTGTGGCCTGTAAGTGGTTGCATGTTATGGGCGTAAGAAGTTTTCCATACTATTTGTTACCATCAAACAATTTCACCCTAAAGTACCAATTTATTTTGAAAAGCTCCTACAACTATCCCAATTCATCATACTGCTTTATGACTTATTTATGTTCCTCTACGTGTGTGTGTGTGTGTGTGTGTGTGTGTGTGTGTGAATGAATAATTGATTAATTGATTAGTGGATGGACAGAAAATACCAACTAATTTGTTAATTGCTAAGGTTTCAAGTTAAAGGTAGGAAGGAGTTGCTGCTTTTCTATATTAATTAAAATATCTTTTGACTGTTGGTTACCACAGTCTCATGAAATTAGAATTGACACTTTAAAATATTGAATCCCGTTTTATAAAGTGACTAAAGATAATTGTTGCAGCTGTAATGTTGGTACTCTTCTTACTTTCACTTTTTTTTTTACTGTTTTTATTTTGAAATGTTGTACCGGAAGTGCTTTTACACATTCATTCCATGTTGACACATTCGAATATCGAATGTAGAACGCGGGCATGGATTTGTGAAAAGCGTCAATTTACATTACATTGTGTTCTTTTTTAGAATATAGTGTGTGTGTGTGTGTGTGTGTGTGTGTGTGTGTGTGTGATGTGGAGGCGAACCGTTTGAATCACCTCCCCTCTGATGAGGTCTTGCTCAGCGGTCTGGCTGACAGAAAGCCCAGCTGACTCATGACTGTGCAACTGGGCAGCAGCTTGTGTTCAGATCACAGCTGGACTCGATTTGATTTAGATTCCCTCCCATATGGGTCCACATCAGACCCTAATATTTGTTTTAAAAAAAAAAAATTCCCTTACAGACCCCAGATCTGAGAAGATTCATACTTGAGAGACAAGTTTTACTCTGGAACAGTTTTACATTTTTGAACAGGAAAGTAAACTCAGATGACAGGCGTGCCTTCATAACCACTGGACTAGCCTGCTCTACAGTCTACTGCACACTTCTCCACTCACCCTGTGTGCATCATCATGATAATTGCTGTTGTTAAGGGTCATACGTTACATAAATCTACCTTTTTCCCTTTTAATTCTACAGTAAAGGGTGTCATGTCCCCCTAAAATTTGATTTATGGACTTTAGAGAGTAGCTAATTATATATTTTTTTGTTAAATTATGAAAAGTGAAACCCTAAAACTTTGTTTGTGTATTTTAATTTTCCGGCCTTGCAAGCCCATTGAGTAAGAGCTTATGGTGGCTAAGTGATTACTTGATGGGCTTTTTTATTTGTTACTAATATAGCTTTTTATTAGCTCCAGGAACCACCTCAGACAAGCTGTCGAACAGAGACACTTAAGTTGTATCAAAACTTTAAAGCAGGGCTGCACCTAAGTGTTATTTTCCTCATCGATTTATCTTTTTTTTTTCTCTCTCTCTCTCTCTCTGAATGTAATCGTTTTGTCAATCGAGCAGTGGCCTGCCATCCGTCCAAAACCCACAAAATATTCAGTTTCCAATAATATAAAACAGAACAGCATTAATCCTCACATTTGAGAAGCTGGAACCAGAACATGTTTTTATATAAACTGCAAACTGTGAGCAGATTCCCACAAAAGGTGTTTTTGATGCGTGATCATAAATTTAGCTCGCCACCATCTGAGCTATAATCGGCAAAATGAGAGAAGTGTCTTGAGCTGGTTTCTAAATCGGGATCACAAATAGAGCTCTAATTACCATCAAGAGATGACCTATATTTTGTTCTCAGATAAGTGTTAGGTTAGGTGTACACGCATGTGTGCTCCTTTTTATATATTTAGAGCTGCATGCAGCGGGGGGGGGATTTTATGTTCAACCTGACTTCCTTCATGGCTTGTGAAATCACACATCTGGCTGCTGATTTTACTGCACGTTGCTAAAGAGCTGTTGGATTTCACCAATGCTGCAAGGCAGATTTAGAAAGTCCCTCTTTTGTCTTCCGTGTTCATACCCTGCCTTGTTTACACATGTAACATCTAACCCTTACCTGCAGCCACAACTGTTCCCACAGACCCCCCCCCATAAGCTCCCCTCTTCCATTATCCTTTCTCTGCTTTACACTTTTCTTTCCCTCCTGTTGCAGGTCGCCATAAATCTTTTAAGATGCTAAGTAGACGTGTTTCTGCTCTTTCCAATCCTCCTCCGTGCATTTCCATACCACAGACAGTAGTAATGTGGTGTGGTGAGTGAGTGCAGAGAGGCATGATGGGAGAGCAGCAGCGTGGGAGCTGTTTCTTCCTCGCATCTCTTCTGTCCAGTTTTCAGGGCGGTTTAAGGAGGCTGTGATGTAAAGTTCTGGTCTAGGGGTGCGAGGATTGCAGCGTGCTTCCTCTTCAGCGGATAAACGGCCACTGCCAGGATGTGAATCTCTTTATACTGTCGGCGCTGTCAGTCAGTGCGAGTGTCTGTGGAGGAGGAGAAGAAGCCATATTGAACAACCTTTGGCTGATTTTTATCATTCAGTCCTGTTTAACTGTGATGTAACATGGAATCGATCACATGTACATGTCATTCTGGACATTTCAAGAAGTACTGTTTAAAGTCGGATTGATTTCTCCCCTCCAAGGGAATTCTTTAAATGACCATACATCACTCGAAGGAATGAAACTAAAAGCAGATTTTATATGACTGTCTTCAAAGATCGAGTAAAGCGAGATGTCATTAGCTTAAAGTATCGGACGTTTTAGGTCATGGATCAACATTTGTATCAATACGGTCAGAACAATGTTAGGAATAGTTTGATATGCACCTAGGATTCAACGATTGGTTAGTTTTCATTATTGATTAATCCGGTGATCATTTTCGTGATCTATCAAATGGCAGGAAAAAAGTCACAGCTGACCTCCGTTAGCAGAAAATCTTCACAATTCAGGAGAAACTGAGGAAGAATATTTGTCATTTTTAGTGAAAAAATGACAAACTAATCATCAAAATGGTTGCTTTCTGTCACTTGATTAATTATTTAATTGTTAAGGGTCATAGCAATGTTCATGGTGATCCTCTGGGAACCATCACTGTTGTGCTTTAATGTAATGCTTCCTGTCATTGTTCTAGAGGAAAGACTTGTTACTGGCATTTGTTGTTGTGCTTTTTTTTTTTTTTTTTTTTTTTTTTTGGATTCGCTCAAGCTGTTTAACTTCATTATTCACATTGTTAGCTTTTCCACTTAATGCCAACAACAACATGCCGAAACAACTAGACAAACGACACTGGATGCTTCATCTCTGCTGTAATGTGACAGTGTGAGACGTTACAGATTGTTCTTTCCTTGATTACTCGTACTGTCTTCTCACCACAGGATGGTCCCCTCTGCGTTTACCTCATGCCAGTCAAACCAGTATCACCTGGCGTAGCGGCTAAATGGCTCTCCAGCATAAATCGTAAATGCTGCAGTTCAAGAGGAAAACACAGAAAGGCCGCATAAAACGCACAGTAAATAGAAAATGCAGGTGTTAAATGCTAAAAGGAATGAAAACTGAATCGGCTAAAAGTAGCACAGGGTGTAGCTGTCGTTGTTTCTAATGAAGGAGGGGTGTCCCTGCACCTGTGGTTGGCTGGATTCTCAAGGGAGAATCCAGATTTGGTTTGAATCAGCATTTGGTGCAAAGGCTGTGAGGCTGTGGGGCCATGGGAGGGAGGGAGGGAGGGTGTTCACCTTCAGGGTAGTCCTGTTAAGGAGGAGGACTATCCTGAAGGTGATTCTGAACAAACCACACAAGTATGTTTGCATGTGTCAGATTCTTAACTGCAGTCATTATGTACTCTAAACAGGTTTGCTATCTGGTTTTTAAAATTATTTTACATTGTGTTTTTCTTGCTTGTCCAGGCAGCAGCTGTCTTTCTGTTTGAGCTGGGTATTAAACCTCAGTGCTTCTTGATGCACGGTCGGATTTTAAAGCTTATTGTTTTATTCTTTTGCTCTAATTCAAGACATTTTCCAACTTCAAAGGATATTTTTTATATTTAAAACAAACAGCCTGCTTTCAGATTCTTAAATGTAAGTATTTCTCTGCTCAGAT